AAAAGTGTTGGGACATAGAAAAGTGTTGGGACATAGAAAAGTGTAGGGCCATAGAAAAGTGTTGGGACATAGAAAAGTGTTGGGTCATAGAAAAGTGTTGGGTCATAGAAAAGTGTTGGGACATAGAAAAGTGTTGGGACATAGAAAAGTGTTGGGTCATAGAAAAGTGTGGGGCCATAGAAAAGTGTAAGGTCATAGAAAAGTGTGGGGACATAGAAAAGTGTGGGGACATAGAAAAGTGTGGGGCCACAGAAAAGTGTGTGTTTCTCCATCGTCAGAAAAGTCAAGACAATTTATGTGGAAAAATTAACTTTCGGTTTTTTCCGTGTATTAACAAAGAATTTACATAATATTTTAAAAATCACCAAAAATAACCTTTCGATATGACAACAAAACGTTCGTCTTACGTTTTTGCGCCCGCGGTCCTTGTCTTTTGCGGTCGCATTCCTGATCTCTATTTTTAACTGGATGCTGTCATAAGGACAGAAACATCCCCCTCCCGAATGTAAAAACATTCGAACCCAACTAACAAAACTAGTTAATATATAACTGCGACGTGGTCCATGTCTTAGGTAACTGTCCGAGCGTTATGAATTGTCTCCTGCGTATTCAAAAGTGCACAACCGGTGCACCGGACGCAAGTATTCACCGTCTTTCGTTTTTATCCTTACAACCCGTACCAATCCGTCATTTCCAGGAAATACTTCGATAACTCGACCAAGAGGCCATTCTCCTCTCTCTGCATTCGGCTCTACTAACATTACGTCGTCCTCCTTTAGGTTGTGTGTCGGATGAAACCACTTCTTTCGTGTATTTAAGCTCGGCAGAAACTCTCCTCCAGCGTTTCCAAAACTGCCCCACCAACTGCTGTACACGATGCCAACGCTTTCGGGGGTTGAAAACTTCATCTCTATCTGCGGTTTCAGGAGCAAACTTTCCTCCCAACTGTCCGATAAGGAAATGACTCTGGGTCAACGGGGAAAGATCATCAGGATCTGAACTGACGAAGGTGATTGGTCGTGAGTTTAATAAACGTTCTGCATCGCAAATGGCAGTATGAAGTTCCTCGTCGGTAATGTCCGCATTACCAAGAATGGCTTTTATGGCTTTCTTAGCACTCTTGATCATTGCCTCGAATACACCACCGAAGTGTGGGGCCGATGGGGGATTGAACTTCCACTCCATGTCATAATCTTGTGTTGTCTTATTTGCTATTTTTTCTTGATCAAATGCTTCTACAAACTCTCAAAGTTCTCGTTCCGCTCCAATAAAGTTGGTACCGTTATCAGAAACTACGTATGTCGGCTTCCCCCTCCTTGTTACCATCCTGGTAAGGGACTGGTCATAAAGTAACTGCTAGGGTGGGCTGGAGGTAAATCACAAATTTTGCCAATAAGTTTGGTGACCCATCTTAGGATGTAGATAAAAATTTCAAAGCCCATCTAATCTTACAAAAAAATTTTCATGACCCACCCAATTTAAATTGGGAAAATACACTTTTATAATAAAAAAAACAAACTTGCAGGTATGAACATTGTAAATATACACCGGCACTGTATTGACACACATAATTCCACCAAGCTTGACCAACACATTCATCACCAATTACGATAATGAGCTGCTCTCCAGTTGGTTGTATTTGCTATGATTCAACCACTTCTTGTTGTTGTATAAACAAAGTACTGGCTTCAATAGTATCATTTGCATTTGATAATTTGGATAGTTTTGTTTACTTTTATTATTAATATCTTTATTTTTGAAGTAGACACTGCATGCATGGGTTTTTGTTTGGTGGCCCAACCGTGGACATACAAAAAAATTGGCGGCCCATCGAAACTGCGCAAAGATTTTCCATGGCCCATCCCAAATCACTCCAGCCCACCCTAGCAGTTACTTTATGACCGGTCCCTAAACGCGTTTACAAAGGAATCGGTATCCAGGGAATACGCCATTTCCAAATGTACAGCCCGTGTAGTAAGACAAGTAAATAGACACAGGTAACGTTTTGCTCTTGTCTTGCCTCTTCCCTGTTTGGTCAAGTATGGTCCGCCGTAATCCACACCAACGCGTTCAAAGGCTCGTAAGGGGTATTGCAATCTTGACATCGGTAACGGAGTCATCATTTGAGTAGTTGGTTTTCCGGTGAATCGTCTACGACAGCCAGGACACTTTTCAATCGTATTTCGCACAGTTCGTCTTCCTTTGATTATCCAGAATCGGGCACGCAGCTCAGTTAGAACATGTTCAACACCAGAACCGTGTCCGAGATTCTCGTGTGCACTTATAATTATCAGACGTGTTACAGTATGATCTTTGGGTAATAAAATGGGATGTCTAACACCATATGGCACGTCAGTGGCGTTGCGTAATCGGCCGTCAGATCGTAATAAACCATTCTCGTCTTTCTTTGGATTTAATTGAATCAAACACTTTTCTTTCACACCGTCGGGAAACGCCTCGCTCTGTGTTCGTTTAAAGCAATATGTCTCTGCTTGCTGTAATTCTTGTGCTCGGAGCGTCCGACTTTTTTCTCGGTTTTCGTTAGGCTGTTTGCAATTACTCAGGAAACGTCGAACCCATCCGGTGACGCGCACTAATCTTTGAAAGCTCGAGAAACGATTTGGATCAATGAGACTTTGGTTTGAACTGTCCCTTGTTGTGTGAGTAACGTTAACCTTTCGTCTTTCGCCTTCGACAATATTTCTCTGAACTTCTTCGTTGGGGATTTGAGGGGGCCATGTTGACTCGTCTTGTTGTAGAATTTCTGGTCCCTTCTTCCACAATTCGTTGTTTGCTAGGTCTGTGGCTGACAATCCTCTTGTTGGCAGGTCTGCTGGATTCGACTCTCCAGGTATATGTCTCCACTGCTGTGGATTAGTGGATCTGTGAATTTCACCGATTCGGTTGGCTACAAATGGCTTGAATTCAGGACTTTGGTTTCGTATCCAGTACAACACGTTTGTCGAGTCAGTCCAGAATATAGGTTCTCCAACTTCTAAGGTCTTGCTAATGTTCTTTGCCAGTCGAGTGGAAAGAACTGCACCCATGAGCTCTAGCCGTGGTATCATCACTGCTTTTGTTGGTGCCACTCTACTTTTCGACGCAACAATTCTCGAGGTCGTGCTCTCGTCAGAATATCGACAAACTAAGTAGGCTACCGTAGCATAAGCTTCTTTTGATGCATCTGAAAATACGTGTAATCGACTTTGGGAAGGACTGGGTAGACGAAGACTTCGAGGAATAGCGACCTGCGATAATTCACGTAGTTCCGAGCCCCATTTTTTCCACTTGAAAACCAATCCGTCTGTAAGGAGATCGTCCCAACCGATTCCAGCCATCCAGATTTCCTGCATCAAAATCTTAGCACGTACGGTGAAGGGGGCCAAGAATTGCAGTGGGTCAAAGATTGTCACTATAGTGCTGAGAACGTTTCTTTTTGTCAACTTCATATCCACTTTGGGTGGTTGGACCCGGAAAGTAAAAACATCGCTCGTTGATTCCCACAGTACACCGAGAGTTTTTATCTTGGGGGACTCTTCCGTGTCATGGATCTCAAGGCTCTGCAGACGGTCTTCTGTCGGAATGTCGTTCAGGACGGTGGAATCATTGGATGACCATTTTGTCAGCTTGAAATAGCAAGCAACTCTGACAGTTCATGTCGTAGTTGTATAGCCTCGTCTACTGTCTCAAATGAGTCTAACACATCGTCCACATACATAGAATTGTCAACAGTTTCTGCAGCATAAGGGTAATCTGCAGCGTGAACTTTCGCGTGGGTGTGCACAACGTGTTGTGCACAGAATGGGGAAGCCCTGTTACCAAACAGGAGTTGTTTAAACTCGTAGTGATCTGGATCTTTTCTTGAATCAAAGTCGCGCCACAGAAACCTGTGGTAATGTCGATCTTCCTCAATAAGACCAACTTGTAGAAACATCTCCGAGATGTCTCCAGATAGGGCTATAGGGGCTTGTCGAAAGCGTGTCAATACATCAGTTAACTCTCTTTGAAGTTTCGGACCAGGTCGCACAGCATCATTGAGACATTTCCCGTTGTCTTTGGCAGCGGCATCAAAGACCATATGCACTTTAGTTGTTGTTCGATCCTGTCTTATCACTGGGAAATGTGGGAGAAACCACTGTTCAAGTTCATTGCTCTTGGGCACTTTTTTAACATAGCCTTTTCTTTCGTAATCCTTGATGATCTCGTCATATCTGTTTGCTACTTTGGAACCTTTTCGTACTAGGGATCTTTCTTGGGTCTTGAGTCTGTTTAAAGCCATTTCGTAGTTGTTTACTAGGTGTGGTTCGCCTCTTTTCCACGGAATGCCAATCTCGTATCGACCGTCTCTCAAACATAATGTTTCTGTTTACTTGGGCTACTGCTACCTTCTTGTTTGGCGTCAATTCTCTTTCTGTTTCATCTCGAATACGGATGGCTTCTAGCTCCCAAAACTGTCGTAGAATATCATCAGGACCTTGTTCTTCTGTCTGATTAGTGCGGTAGGTGCGTGTGAAATAGGATTTAGATGATCGTTGAAACTGTTCGGTAAGCGTAGGTCCAAAACAAACCCAACCGAGACTTGTCTTGCGTGCAATTGGATCTCTCGCTTTAGTTCCATGTACCTCTTGTAGAATATGGTGATTGTCTGATCCAGTAAGGACATCAATTTGTCGACGCTTCGCAACATTCAGGAACGGGATTGATTGTAGGTGGGGCCACTCTTTCTTCAGCTTGGACCACTCAAACACTGGGGTGTCGCCCGATATATTATCTAGAACATTGGCTTGTAGATTAGCAGAAAACTTTTCCATCACTTCAACTTGACGTGAATGTTTCTTAACCTCTGTACCGCCTGTTCCTGAAATTGTAAGTTGTTGGCCTTTCCCTTGTAGCGTAAGTTCTTCCGCTGCAGCATCAGACACATATGAACCAGTTGAACAGTTGTCTAGCATTACATTCACCTTTAGTGTTTTAGTACCATTACTAATCACTGCTGGTAAAACCATAAGTGATACATAGTCGGCTTGCCTGGTTGTATGTGTTCTGGTCTCGGCTGTTGCTTCATTTTGATTACTTGTCTCGTCTCGCTGGTTGTTTCCTGGGTGTTGTCCTGGCTTGGGTTGGTTTGTTTCATGCGGTTAGTGGCTATCTTCATGGAGATATCGACTACGTTCGTCACTGTTGCACCCATTAAGACCACACCGTCTTACATTAGGGCAATCTCTTTTGCGGTGACCAGCTGCAAGACACCTAAAGCAGTGTTTACTGTTGCTGATTAGTTCCTTTCTTTGGGATACTGGCAAGGCTTTGAATGCACCACACCCCCATGGTGGATGATTTTCTTTGCACGAGGTGACAATGCAACTTGTCGGCTTGTGTGTGTTGTTAAATCCCCGGTTGTGACGTCTGTCATTGCCTCTGAGGTATTTCCGCTCTTCTGGCTTGGTTTCAAGGCCACTTGTCTCTTCTTGGGCTTCTTCCATAATTTGAACTTGACGTTCGACCCATTCAACTAGGGTTTCAAAGTTATCCTCATTGGATGTTCAATAAGCCAGTATTTGTATGCTTGAACATCTCTTTGTGATAACTTTTCTTTTGCGGTGAGATTCAAATTTTGCCCTGTCAGTTCTCTACCCGGTCCACTGTCTTGCAATGCAATCATGACACGTTCCAAAATGACCAGAAAGTGTTCCATGTCTTCAAGGTTCCGTGACTTAATCTTTGGCATATCACGCAAGGCTGTTAAATGTTTAATCATCAGTCGTCTTTCTCCACCATATTTCTTTTCCAGTTTGGACTTTGCTCTCTCATATGCATTCAGTGAGTAGCCAAGGTCTTTGACCATAACTAATGCCTTCCCAGATAAACTACTTTGGAAGCGTAACATCTTTTCACTAACTGGAATCTCTGCTTCATCAACAATGGACATGAATGCAGCTTTCCATGACTCATAATCTGCCTTATTTTCGCCTGAAAAGTTTGGTAAATCCACACCTTTCAATTTAACTGTCCCATTTATTTTGGCTGTTTCTCTATAATTAGGTTGCACTGAAGGTGGGGGTGGAAGCAATTTGATATATTATTGAGAGTGTTCTCTAAACTGTCGTGGTGGGAATTGGCGGTATGGTCAGCGGTTTCCGCTCTAATTTGGTTTAATTCAGTTATTTTTCGTGCTTCTTCAGCTCGTCGTTTTGTAAGCTCAAGTTCAGCTGTTCGTTTTTGCAACTCATCTTCTTTCTGTCTTTGTTCTTGCTGGAAATGCAATAGTCTATCCTTTAGTTCAACATGTTGTTGTTCTAACTTTTCTTCTTGTCGTCGTTGTTCCTCTTGTATTTGTAAAAATCTGATGTGTCTGTTCTTCGACTGATGTGTCTGTTCTTCGACTGAATAAGTCGTGTCTGTTCTTCGACTGAATAAGGTTTCGATATAGTTGATAACGATACAGAAACTGTTTCACCGTTGTCTTCTCGCTGTTTTATATATTCGTAGGCTAATTTTTGGCTTTCGTCAACCATAGCTCCAATTTCTTCAAGCTCTTTATCGAGATTTTCAATTAACGTGTCCGTATTTTCGTCGTGGGATGTACTAACAGCATAAATTTCCTTTAAAGCATTAATAATTTTCTCGATGTCATATTCTGAGCTTACCTTGTTAACAGCTTGTCGAATAGTATTCTTACTCGTTAACTGTCCATATAATTGAGTGTTCAGCAAGCTTTTTAGTTGATTTCTCGCTTTCATAAGTCTTCCTTTCGCTGACTTCTTTCGTTCTCGAAGAATTTTTCGTTTGTCGCCATTTAATAGTCAAATTTTTCGAGTCAAATTCGTAGTCAAATCTCACTATTTTTCCATTCTAGATCCGGTTCTAAAATAGATAACCCAACTCACAGAAAATCTCCGAAACTCAAGGAGAACCCAACACTCAAACATCTAAGAATCGGGGGCTTTTCTCTTCAAAAGTTTGGTAGAAGGAAATGCCTGGATAAAATTCTTTAAATGATTAAAATCCCTGTAAATGTCAGCAGCTTGATTGTTTGATGACATATTCTGCGAAAGGAGATCCGCTGGTGCACCTGCCTTTAGGATATTAGCAAGCTGTAAGTAGTAGCGTGCAGTCGCTGGAGAGGACCAGCCAACATGGGACATAACATCGGCAAGGCGCGATCCCACAAAAGTGAGCATAAGAGCGCAGCCAGATCTAAAGCTGTGAAGAGTTTCTCCTGAGTCAATGTTGGCCTGCCGGAGATATAACTTAAGGTGCGCGGTTGCGGCAGAACTAAATAGCAGTCGGTTGAGAACATGACCTTGAGGGTCGGTTGGACGGAATAAATATCCTGCCGACAGATCAACGGAGAGTTCACCAGCAATGGACACGTATAGTTCAATTCCACGTACAGGGCACAAGGTAGGATTTGGATGGCGCCGCATACCAAAAAGATTTTGTGAGCCATCACGCAAAGTTTTACCCCAGACGTGGTTGAAAAGTAGACCACTATCATCCAGAAACTGGGCAATCTCTGAAGTTTTTACGAGCCCTAAGCCCTACACGATCCCCTGAGTAGAATAGCGCTCAATATAAAGATGTCGGACGGTGAAAGAGATGGGCACACAATGCTTTTCTCTAAAGAACGGGAGAGTTGTTAAGAGCTTGTCAGGGAATATAGGAAGCACTTGCTTGGGCGTGGAGTGAGCTTGTAATTGTTCTGCCGTCACTTGCTTGAGGTACAACTTCACTAGATCATCTGCTGCCGGATTTCCTAAATGTAAGGCACAATTCCAATCTCCCTGTCTACCCGTGTCTGAATAAATGGCTCGTAATTTGCCGATGTAGGAGTCAACGTACCATACGCTAAACGCCTTGGACAGCTACAAGATGAAAGACTGCGCTTTGCTACATTAGGACAAACTTGTGAATGAAGCTGGGATTTACCACAATGATCCTTATAAATGAGGAACCTGCAAACATCGATAGGGTTGCGGTGAAGATGGTCTTCTTGGCCGGTAAGGCGTGGAGAAAATCTTCCATGCTTGGCATAAAATGTTGCGAAATCGGCCAAACTGCCGATCGTGAAGTTCAGCGGTCTTGCCCATCATGAGCATAGAAAAAATTCAAGATGGCGGCGATTAGGAGTGAATTGCAAAATCTGTTAGGGCGAATTTTTCATCTTGTGAACTAGAAAACTGTTGTGGATTATTGCGGAAACAATCGATGGGGACTGGTCAATGTGCGAAACAAACCTTCAATGAGAAAATCACGTTCGAATTAACAGATTGGCAAAGGCAAACTGGTCAATTTCTTTCTGTTGACATGTTAAAATACTTCTTGTATAAGATTTAATTAAGTGATATCGAATGGATTTTGCTCAGGCGACATAAAATAAAGATAACAGCTAAAACGAAAGTTTACATAGACCTACCGCTCAGTGTCAGGAGGCTTGTCTAATCTCTTAATTTACAAACTATTTCGCAGTCTACTAGTGTTGGCTTAATACAAGGATGGATAATTTGCAAGCAACTATATTGAATTTTTGAAAGCTTTCACACATTGAAAGGAATTACAGTATCATGTCTGTGCTAACACTTGAAACAGTTATAAATATTTTTGAATTATGTACTGTACATGTTAATAAAAATAACTTGAAGTATTCTATATTCACTAGCATGTCATATTTCTAACTTTCTGGTCTTTATTTAGCATACAGTATCTCACACACACTACCAGTAATATGGCTGACATACTAAGTAACTAAGGAGTAAGGTGATAAATTTCTCTTTTGGTACATGCAGTTAAAAGTGTTTTTAGTGACTGTATGTAACCCATTATGACTGCCTGTGTATCAGTATGTGACAGGCATTTTACTGATATGTGTATATTATTTGAACTTCCTGCATTGGCAAAGTACTTTGATTTGTATATTAATAAATTACATGATATACACCATGTCTTTGTATCCATTAATGTTCATACTTCCACCACCAAGGTGCTTAACCCATTAAGTGGCAGAGCTTCGGTCCCCATTGACGAGTAAAAAATTGTCTGGCGTTAGACAAGTAAAAAAATAGATGGGGCGCATTGCGGTTCAATGGGTTAACACATAAAAGAACACACAGAGAAGAAAACCCATATGAATGTGTTGTTTGCCTGTGCAGGAAATGTTCACATGTGATCAATTCAAAAAGACTAAAATAATACACACTGGATAAAAAAGTTTATGAATTTGTTATTCCATGGTCAAATGTTTAGTACACTACTAAACATAAGGAACAATACTGGGAACAATATTTGCCAATAGTCCTGGTAAAAATATTTATTAGACCTGACAATTTAATTGAGAACACTATTTGCAATCAAATAATAATACATTTTTAATTAGATCAACCCTCACTTGCACTTGGCAATTACTGACAGGGTTAATATTACAGTCATAGTCAATCTTAATACACATATAGTTCAGTATAGTAGGCAGGAATAATCCAATGTCAGTGACACATTATTTCACAATATTCTGCCATTAGTAAATAAACTTTGCCTTGCAAGACCTAGAAGAAAATGGTAAAGGTTTAGAGATTAAAAATCTTGCATCACTATAGCTGATAAACCCAATATTGTTACAGTATGGTAACTGTCTTTAAGGGTAAATTTAAATATCTGACTGATATAAGACCGAAATAACAAAGTAGCCCGATTACTACGGGTATAGCCTGTAAACACGACTGTCTTTGGGACACATCACATATCTACTCAGTATCGCATATACAAAACAAGCAAATGACTGATGGTGACACTGGGAAACACTGCGGCTTACTGAGTTAACACAAAAGGTGGACCGACAATCCATGGATGTATTGTGGCTGTATCATTGGTATATAAAAAGTAACATAAGCCTCACATGGGTGGTTTTCCTTGCTACTTTCAGAACTTAAATCATTAAGCACCAGCCCTCTCCCCTTGACAAGTAAAATCGTCTGCTGTTAGACAGAGTAAAATAATAAAGTAGGGCGCATCAGGGCGCAGTGCGACTCAATGGGTTAACTAGACACATAGACATATAAGCCTGTCAACCATTAAGTGCCAGCCCTCGCTGTTGACAAGTTAACTTGTCTGCCGTTAGATAGAGACTGACAGAGTAAAATAATAACATAGGGTGCATCAGGGTGCAATGTGACTCAATGCACTATAACTAAAGTAGACACAAAGACATATAGGGTAGTTAATCATTAAGTCGTTTAAGCACCAGTGCTCTCCCCTTGACAAGTAAAATGGTCTGCCATTAGACAGAGTAAAATAATAAAGTAGGGCGCATCAGGGCGCAGTGCGACTCAATGGGTTAACTAGACACATAGACATATAAGCTAGTTAACTATTAAGCGCCAGCGCTCTCCGTTGACAAGTTAACTTGTCTGCTGGTAGATAGAGACTGACAGAGTAAAATAATAACATAGGGTGGAATTTTAACTCAATGCACTAACTAGACACATAGACATATAGCCAGCACTTTCCCCTTGACAAGTAAAATCGTCCGGCGTTAGACAAAGTAAAATAATAAAGTAGGGCCCATCAGGGCGGCGAGGGCGCAATGCGACTCAATGAGTTCATAGATTGCTGAAACTATAAATCAAGTCTGTGTACAAATACAACACCTAGGTCATGCTGCCAGCTGTGCCTGTGGTTTACCTGAATTTGCAAGCAATTATAGGTTTGTTTCAATATTCAAAAGATTTTTCTAACTTCAAAGTTAAAAAAACTTCACATTTATATAGTAACAGAGTTTACACTGTCAGAATTGCATTTTATGTGCTGAAATGTAACACTGAGCCAGTTCCCTCAAAGATTACTTACAAATCCCTCAAAACGTAGAATTTACCTATGGAACATCGCATATTGTCTAGTCAATGTACTTATAATAAATCTGTGTGACAACTGTCAATGTGAAAATATAATATACAACACATTATTGTTCGTAATTTTAAACATATTTCGCTTGTTTTAAACCCTCCAAATTCGAAAATATAGGGTTAATTAAAGGGTTTGTAGCCATAGGCCGCTATAGGTATTATAGTTCTTGAGCGCTCAAGAATGTATACAATATACAAGTCAACAAGTACACACGCCTGCCTTTCAAAACATATCAATATATTATCCCTTGTTTCGTACAAATAATACAATAAACAAATGCCAAACATACCTTTTCGTCTAATCTCCTCAATTTCTGTGTCTTGGTCGATAATTCCATCTTTCTTTTGACCGCAACCTCAGACGCTAAACGTTATATTATTAGCGTTGACATTGAAACGCTGTATTTGGTGGCCTTGTTCAAATGCATTTTTACTGCGATCAAAGACGAAATCGAATAAAGTGCTTTGGTAGGAATTTAGATAAAGGTTATAAATTTAGTCCTACCAAATATTATAAAAGGATGGCCTTAAAAACAAAAGTTATTCGAAGCCGAAATTCATCAATTTTAACATTTTGGCTTCGATGCGCCATTGTTTGCGAAATTGCTCTCAAAGAATGCACGAAAGCGGCAAAACAATAAAGGTAGTCATGGCAACTTTGGTACCATTCTGATCCCCTAATATCACGCTATTCATCCCCCAAGTACATATTTCTCTAAGGATACCCTTCATGTCACCGCAGCTATCTAAAAATAGCGCACATTTCCAAAATTAAATTCGTCTCCAGACTCCAAAAAAAATACGTGCGCCATCCGCAAAAATTCGAACATTTCTTGTGGCCGAATTTGAAACATTTTATGCCAAGCGTGTTCTAATTCATCTTTTAGCAACTGTTTTTGCTTGGCATACACAGTTGAAAGATGTTTTTCCTGAAGCTCGGCAACCTGGCGATCAATGGAAGGCAAGTCATACTGAACAGGTTTTCGTGACAGAGGAGGTAATCGACATCGGGCATAACCACACCGTTGACAAAAATTTAATGTACTATTGTTTGGATATTGGCATGATGGACACACAACGGCCGGGGAAAAAAGCCGAGCAACCGGGACCAGATTCTAAATGGAGACAACATTGTGAAAACTGATTGTGTAATATGATGAACTATAAATTTAACAATACAAAATGCCATTATAATTTGGCACTAGCTTATGAAATGTGACACACAATTAATTGCCGTTTGATAGTTCCTTGAAACACCACCTTCAAAACGGCATCAACGGTGGAATAAAACGAAAAACCCATAAATCCCATGGTAACAGCCATGTTGAGGAAAACCCATGTTTCGTTGGGGGCAAAACAATGCCGTGGGTGCCACATGTAGCCAAACGAGCAGACTGAAATCACTGCAATAATGGCCACCAAAACTTGCGAGGATGTACATTAGGAACAACCAGCATACAAGTAATACCATGGCGGGAAAGAAAATGCAATAATTTTGGTATAAGAATGATTGGAGGAAAAGCATATGGATTGTGAAAAAATGGGTGATGGTGTGGAAGCTGAGAGAAAACATTAACCCCTGAAGCCCCTGGTGAAGGCACAGGCGAGAAGAAAGGAAGGGGATGTCCCGACAAGGCATGTGTCGTGAACGTTTATACAGTTACATTTATAGATCAGTAGTGTTAATATTATTAAGGAAATGTACAATTTGATTGACACTTCGGATATAGTATATAACATGTGAGCGAGCGTTGACTTTAGAACGGGAATTATAACTTAAACAAAACGTGATATTATAAAGTCTTTACTTCTTCGAACCGATTGTGGGAATCAAACAAAACTTCATCACAAAGTGGCACCTTCGACCGGGATTATTTGGACTTGTAACTTGTGAATTTATCGGGAATTTATTGAGAGTTTATCGGGGTTTGAGGAAGTATTTTGACTACAAAATCGAGCTATGGCGACGCGACAACAAAGTCAGCGAAGAGATCTTGAAGCCCAATATGAACAGCTATCGGGTTTATCCAAGGAAACTGAGTCGAAACTGGTTAACTTACAGTCTTTACTACGAAAATTAGCATATTTTAACCGAGCAACAGACGAGATTTTGAGAGTGAATTCCAAAGAGGCGATAATACGACAACAAACAACGCTAAAAACCAAGGTAAGCAAAGCGTATGGTTTGATTGAGCTTATACAATGCTTGAAAATCGATGCAGGCGAATCTGACAAAACTATAGACGAGTGGACAAGCGAAAATAATGGCAGATTACATGAATATGAAGCAGCAATCGAAGAGTTAAATCGTAGGCTCTTAGACGAAGAGAAAATACAAAGGGAAATTGAGCGCCAAGAGAAAATTCGACAAGAAGTGGAAGCACGAGCTCTAATAAGACATGAGGAAGAACAGGCAGAATTTGAAAAGCGTGCAAGGGAGGAAAAGTTTGCATTATCTTTGGAAGAAAAGAAGTTGGAAATTGCTTCTGCAAAACGGATCAAAACAAAATTACCTAATCTACAAATATCAAAATTTCAAGGAAGTCATTTGGACTGGGTGCGGTTCTGGGGTTTATTTGAGACCCAAATTGATAAAGCACCTATGAATGATGAAGCAAAGTTTGCATATTTGAAAGAGCATGTTGTATCTAAAGTTAGGATTACAATCGATAAATTACCACTCAGCACCGAAGGGTATGCGAAAGCGAAAAAGATGTTAAAGGAACGGTATGGTGATACAAGTGAGGTGGTCAATGCACACATACAAGAAATTATTTCCCTACCTACCATTAATGGTACTTCAAAACAAAAGATACATAACTTTTATGACAATCTTGTCGGACACGTTCAAGTGCTTGAAACATTCGGAAAACTAGGCGATGTTGCGGGAAATGTAAGGATGACTTTGGATAAGTTGGAAGGATTTGGGCTGACCTAACAAGAACCTCGGCCAGAGTGGATAAAGTGGACCTTCCCTGAGTTGGTTGAAGCATTGCGACAATGGATTGAGCGAAACCCAATACAACAAAGTGAGAAAGATGCGAAGAAAGATGGATCACCATGGAAAGACGGTAGGAAAGATAGACTATTGTTAGCAAAGGAACAATCTAGACAGTGTGTGTATTGTGAAAGCAAAAGTCACAGATCGGTAGAGTGCGATAAAGTTGTGAGTGCAAGTGACCGAAAGAAATTGTTAAGCAGCAAGCATCTGTGTTTTAATTGCACAGGCGAAAAGCATAGAGCAAGTGATTGTAGAAGTAGGATCCAGTGTTATAACTGCAAGCGAAGACACCATACTTCTATTTGTGATAAACTAGAAGATGGTCAAAAGCTGATGTGCCAACCCAATGGAAATGATGTATGTTGTTTATCCAGTTGTTGTAGTCGAGATTGAAGGAGTTAAGTGTCGAGCACTTTTAGATACTGGATCTGGGAGTTCTTTCACGTCAAGTACGTTATTGAATACAATTGGAAAAAAGCCAGTGAGACAGGAATTTAAATCAATTGAGATGATGTTCCAAACTACAACAAGGAAAATTGATGTGTACGAAGTCGAGATTGCAGATGTTGAGGGAAAATGCAAGATGCCATGTGAGTTGAACCAGAGTGAGAAGGATGTGCTAATGACTTTGCCAAACCCCAGGTACAAGGAACTTATTAAAATTTATGAACATCTTTGAGGAGTCCATATGAATGACGGAGACGAGAAAGCACTTCTACCTGTTCACCTTATCTTAGGAGCCAGTGATATGTCCAGAGTCAAGACATCAGAACCAGCCAGGGTTGGAGACGATGGGATGCCAGTTGCCGAGAAAACCGCGTTGGGATGGACCATCATGTCACCGGGACGATGGATGTGCTAGGATTAGAAGACCGTGCCGAAGGAGATCAAGGAACCGTTTATCAGGAGTTTAAGGAACAGCTTACTAAGCGAGAAGACGGTCGATACGAAACGTCATTACCATGGAAGGCTAATCATCCAGAGCTTCCGACCAATTACCATGTTGCTAAGCGGAGATTTCAGTCATTATTCAACCGGCTTGATAAACAACCAGAACTGCTAGAGACTTACCACAGTATCATAGAGAATCAACTTGAGGAAGGAGTCATTGAAGTCGCACCAGAGAAAGCAGAGAGAAGCCGAGAGCATTATATCCCACACAAGCCTGTAGTACAAGAGCATGCCGAGTCTACGAATGTAAGAATTGTTTACGATGCTTTGGCAAAAGCTGATGAAAAATCACCTTCGTTGAATGATTGCTTGGACATTGGTCCCCCACTCCAAAGGCGAATCCTAGATATACTATTACGCAGTCGAATGAGACCAATTCTCTTGGCTGGTGACATAAAACAAGCATTCCTACAAATTGTGATCAGGGAGATCGAGCGAGATGTAATGAGATTTTTATGGATAAATGATCTACAACGCAAAGAGATGATGGTCTATCGCATGACCAGAGCGATGTTTGGGCTAGGCCCAAGTCCATTTCTACTCGGAGGAACTTTGAATGTTCACCTCGAGAAGTATGTACAGCAATATCCACAGTGTGTTGAAGAATTGTCCGAAGGAACTTATGTTGATGATATAACCACGAAACCTGGATGAACGGTCCTCGTTGGTTAAGTGAGCCTGCAAAATGGCCGGAGCAATTACAGATCAAACCCAGCGAAAGTCGAATGGTTAAAGAAGTGATGAAAGTTACCATTCCGAAAGAGGCTGATTTTGTCGATAGTCTGTTAGAGAAATTCCAGCTGTTAAAAGCAGTACGAGTTTTAGCATGGGTTAAGAGATTTATTGACAACCTGGTGTATGGCAAGAAAGTCAATGGGCCATTATTGGCAACCGAGGAAATGCAGAAGCAGATGCAGTTCCTGATTAAACGAGCGCAATCTGAAAGCGAAATACTTGAGAACTTCAAATATGATTCCACCAGATTAAATCTTCAAAAGAACGATGAAGGAATATACGTCTGTAAAGGAAGAATCCAAGGCAAATATCCTGTATATCTCCCAGCAAAACATGTTTTATCCGAAATGGTTGTAAAGCAAGCCCACGCGAAGACTCTGCATGGGGGAGTTGGTCTGATTATGAGCAAAGTTCGTGAAGAATACTGGATTCCAAAGCTACAAACTCTAGCTAAGAAAGTCCTCAGCCATTGTTATGGATGTAAGCGGTTACACACAGCACCAGAACCTAGGCCACCTCAAGGTAATCTCCCGAAAGAAAGAACCGAAGGCATGACGCCATTTGATGTAGTAGGTGTGGATTACGCTGGACCTATTTATTACCGCAGCAAGAAGAATGAAGATAAGTCGTATATCCTCATCTACACATGTTCCTTAACACGAGGACTCCACCTGGAACCCCCACCGAATTTAAGTTGCGAAGAGTTTCTGGCAAGTTTCAAGAGGTTTGTTGCAGTCCGAGGACGACCAAAGAAGATGATCTCAGATAATGGGAAAACTTTTCATGCAGCGTCAAAGTGGATTAAGAAAGCTACACGAGATGAAAATTTCCACGTGTTTCTGCAGGATCATAAAATCCAGTGGCAGTTTAACTTAAGCAAGGCAAGCTGGTGGGGCGGCATGTTTGAAAGAATGGTTGGATTGGTGAAGAATTCGCTTTACAAAGTTGTTGGTTCAGCTAAACTCACTTACAAAGAGTTGCAAGATGTATTACTGGACATACAAATAGTACTGAATAACCGCCCTTTAACGTATTGTGAAGATGACGTGCAACTTCCGGTTCTCACACCAAACCTCCTGATATTGGGAAAAGCAAATTATCTATTAGAGTTGCCTACCGAAGAAATTGAAGAAGACGATCTACGAAGGAGAGCAAAACATTTAAAGAAGTGTAAAGATGCGTTATGGCGTCGTCGGCGAAATGAATACATGAGAGCACTTCGAGAGAGACACGATTTACGACACCACGGGAAAAGCGCACAATTGCAAGAAGGCGATGTAGTTCTTATCAAGGGTGATGAAAAGAACCGAGGCAAGTGGAAGATTGGAATCGTGGACAAACTAATACCTGGAAGAGATGAAATCGTGAGAGCGGTGAGACTGCATGCAGGAAAGAGTTACCTCAATAGACCTATTCAGTTTCTATATCCAATGGAGCTACACTGTGAAGCGAAGAAACAAAATCAAGGAGAACTGAATCCCGAAGCCAGAGAGTTTAGACCAAAACGAAGAGCAGCGGTTGAAGCATTAAGGAATATTCATCAGATGCAGGAGAATGAAGAGGACGGTGACTAATAACTTTGCATGGGTATAAGTAAAACTGTAAGTGACTTGATAAAGCGAACAACAGTTAGTCAAACTTAGTCAGTTTATATTTCAAATAAAGATTATTTAAAATAGGGGGAGTGTGTCGTGAACGTTTATACAGTTACATTTATAGATCAGTAGTGTTAATATTATTAAGGAAATGTACAATTTGATTGACACTTTGGATATAGTATATAACATGTGAGCGAGCGTTGACTTTAGAACGGGAATTATAACTTAAACAAAACGTGATATTATAAAGTCTTTACTTCTTCAAACCGATTGTGGGAATCAAACGAAACTTCATCACAAAGTTGCATATTTGAAGGTAGAACCATTAGATCCACAGAGTGGCCAGATGGCTGCCAAAATGGTCTTGAACCCGAGCCCAGGTGTCAGAAGACAACATGGAGTCCAGCAAAGAGAGTCGTTGGGAGGGTGTGTCAGCAAGATTCAAACGGGAGGGAATGTGATGTAAACTGAGATGAATGTTAATGTTAGAATGTGAAACAATGGCAAATAATCGCTTTAAAGCAGCTATAACAGGCGATTTTGCGCCCTGTCATGACCAGGACTGAAGCAAAACTTGGCTATCTGTAAACGCATCAACCCAAGAATTACTGATAGTGGAAGAAAAGGAGTCGAGGACATTAGCAAGAGCAAGTATCTCCTTAGAATTGATGTCAAATGTAGAGTGGGTTTTCTGCCAATAATCTTGTATGCTCACCAAAAGGGCTCCAGGGTTGAGGATACCACCCCAGCCAGAAGAACTAGCATCAGAGAATAGAACCAGTTGATGGTGAAATTCCGACCGCCAAGGTAAAGACCCCCGCCAGTTCTCTAAAAAGGCCCAAGACTCAATTTCTGCCCGTAGATGGCCGACAAGTGAAATAGGTTGTGAAGAACAAGCAGCTTCGCTAATAGCCAAATTGATTTCATTAATAAACATACAAGCACCTGGTACGACCAGAGATAACAAATTACACTTTCTGCATAGACGCTGAAGAGTTTTTTGATCAATGAAGGATGACGAAAGCACAGAGCGAAGCAATGAACAAAATTTTTCTCTTTTGGTAGGAAAAATACGAAATGCTTGTTTGCGGGAGTCAATATCGAAACCTAGATATGGTACAACCTGGCGAGGGAACAAAACTGATTTATGGAGCCCAATCAAATACCCTAACGAAACTAACATATAACAGACAAAGAAAATTGCTGCAGAGGCTGCCGCCATATGCCTTTCGAAAGCCGAGACTAACTTCTGGTATGCTGTAGGGAGAAGCGAAGGCAAAATGAGCTCGCCAGTGTGACAGTCATCAATATACAAAGAACAAGCGATAAGATTAGATCGAAAGAAATGAGAGACAAGTAAACCAGTTGAGTGGTAGATGTACGCTGAAGTCTTCCAGCCAAACGGAATAGTGTTACTGACAAAGTACCACCCGGCCCATTGCAAGCCAAAGTAGCACCCGACTATCTTCTGAGAGAAAAATGTGGTCATATCCAGATTTGTTGTCACAAACAGATTGGAAGGAATTTTGTGAAACGTAGCGCGGGAGAGAGACAATGGTGCCCAGCCGGAACAGAGTATCCTTGATCCACAGATTCAAAAACCGGTTATCATTGCACAATAGTGGTTTAGTGGGTTCAACCGTCAAAGGCATTACGAGCTTGGGAGGAGGGTCTTGTCTAACCTTTCCCCACACCAAGATGGCACCGGAGGCCAGACGCTCGCGGATAGTATTTGAAATGAACGTCAAAAATGGTTTGCATGATGGCGAGTTTGTGAACAGTTTTGCTGGTGGTATGTCAAAAAAAAAACAACTTGCCTTTGCCGTTTTGCTGGTGGTATGCCAAAAAAAACCAACCTCCTGGACATTAATGTTGTTCTATATCCAGTCAAGGACGATGGGTGTTTCTTGGTAAGGGGAGTGAGCTGAGATGAATTGCCACTGATCGATCTTGCTATGGAGATTACCCGCTGTAAAACGCTTTGGGTCGCGAAAAAGGAGAAGAATAACATCAGGAAGTTTTTCGCCATGAAGAACATCTTGACGGAACTGCTCGGATATATGGACATTCTTCACTGTCATCCCCTTGGATTTATTGGGGTCCGATCCGTCAAAACAAACCCAACACGGAGGTGGAGGCATTCCATCATGTGGAGAAAAATCATGTTCAGGTTCCCACAAGGGAAATACAGATTCGAGACGTACTTTTTTGGCCGTAGGCTAGAAGAACAAAGATGAACGTAAGAGAGAGAATATGAAAGTAGAACCCAGGGGATGACAGTTTTGAGTGCCGGTAATCCAAGCAGGAATTGGATTCCTGTTCAAAACAGTCAAAAAGAAAAGGCACCCAAGTAAAGACAAGAAAACCTTCCAGAAGAGAGGGGGGAAAACAAAAAACAAACAACAACACAAATGCAGAGAACAAATTTTATTAACGAGTTATGCAAATGTATAACAGTGTCAGAATGTGCACAAGAACATGATCAAACGTTTGTCATAGAAACATGCTAACGCTGTGGCGAATTGTTTGATGATTGGTCCTGTTGGGATTGTCCTAACAATCTCGAATACGGTGCAAAGCACCAACTGAGGGGAGCATTGCTCTGCCAACCAGACTCATGGTGACGTCTGAAGCAGTTTGGGGCTATATGTCCAGGAATTCCACAATGAAGACACACAACACGACCATGGCGGGCTGGATGAGGGGAATCGGACCGTTCAACAGAGGAACAAGAAGCTGGTGCCTTAGTCTGGAACACTTTATCAACATGAGCAATACACTCGAGAATCTTGGTATAATCTTTGTCACAAAATAGAGCAGTGAAATAGGCTTGAAACTTGTCGAGGGAGATGGAAACATGAGACCGCAATGTCTGAATGGCTGCATCCAAAAACGATGCCTTCGAGTCATGAACGCGGTGAGCTTCTCTTGCTGCTGCTGCTTCGGCTAAATTGAGGGTGTGATATTTGTCAAAATCAGACGCACTACGTAAACCATATTGAGACAAGCGTAATAAATGAGATGGGACGTCTGGCTGTGACAAACTCTCTAAAGTTTTTATCTGCTCGAGCAATGCAGGAATGTCATTCTAAGAAATAAAACAAAAGATGTATAAGACATAGGACCTTAGACAAACTGAACGCCATGGCAGTCAAAACTAGTGCATAACTAAGGGGAAGCAAAACAAAGTGAAATATAAAATTGAAACTAACATAGCAAGGAAAATACGTATAAACTACACCACAAGGTAAATAGAAACCGAATAAAACGCCTGGCAAGAAAATTATAAGACAAGGGCATTAAAATGGTATATCGCGATTATAAAATATGTAAGCAAAACGTGATACAAAGAAACAAGCCATGACATAAGCTAGAGACATAAGAAATGTGACCCGCAAACATTAATATCGGTCCAAAAGCACACTTCGCCATAAGGAAAGAAAACAAAGTAACATGTCAATAAGGGGAACAGATATAGTATCCCGAGATTGCACAACAAAGCATGCATAACAAAATAAAATCTACTCCATGTTTCTGCAAACAAAAGGTTGGGGAATCTATAACTAAGAAAACTGAAATGCCAAAACCCATGTAAACTGAATGACTGAGGCATAAACACAGGAAGGGGAATACGACCTATCTATAGAAAACAACGGACACACAAAACAGGATAAGTAAACATGGCAGAACGAAAACTAAACAGGAACGAAAAATCTGTGTTATTCTGACATTATTATTACTACAAATTACTATGCATAAGAACAATAGGGAACAGATGAAAATAGACCAAGCGTATAGAGGCAGAAATTATAATGAGGTCATACGCCGCTTAAGGGAACACAAAGGTACAAACAAATCAAATATTTGAACGAAACATCTCATGCAGGAAGCAGAAATTAGGGTTACAAGCTGCATGAGGGAACAAATGAAACAAACAAGGAAACCTAACGCAAGAACAGTATACAAACAAATTGAATAAACATCTCAAGGCAGGAAAATATAATTCAAAGCCAATAACATCTGCATGAAGAAACAAATCAAATATGTAATGATTTAGTGTACTTAGCATATTTACTTATTTAGCAAATTTAAATTATTGGTCAGCTGCAAGCATCGTGGGCTCATGTTGTTGGGTTCTCTCTGTAACTGGCATTGCTTTTCTCATGTAGTTTAAATAAGTATACTTTTGAATCGCAATCAATCTTGGCTTCTAAAATCGAAATATAACATGGTGTCAGGTGTGGGATATTAGTCTAAACATCAGACTAATGAAATATCAAAACATTTTCAAGAAAGAAGCAGTATTCTCAGAGAAATTTTAGGCCAAAGTTACAGCAACGAAAGCAAACAATGGAGATGCATTTTGGTCTAATACCACCTCAAACGTTGGATCTAAACAGTGGAAATGTATCCAGTCCTTCCACTTTGAAAGAAATTTCCTTTTCGAGGGAAATTTTGACAAAATGAAGGAAATGCAATTCTGAAGGAAATGTGAAGCAAATAATATTTATTACTTAAATATAATATAATTATATTAATAACAAAAGTTATTACTAATAATAGTATTTACAAATATTTTTTAAAAACATTAAAGGGACTCTACGGTCATTTTTTAGTCGAAAAGCCACCTTAAGTAGGGGACTCCACGGAGATTCGTTTGGCTGTATCTTACATGCAGTATCCATGAGTACTTCCGCACACCGGAAGATACATGCATGCTGTGATGCGCATGTCAAGTAGCGACAATAACAAAAAAATGTAAACAACACTTACTTGACTAAAAAATGACTGTAGGTTCCCTTTAAGAAGTTATGAGTTATGACACCACCAACGCATTTAATTATAGGCTTTTATGCATAATTTATACTGCATATAACTTCCTGTAGCCTGTGCGCGGGTTTCTCCCCTTTATTTTAGAGGGTAACATGGACATGTGGTTTAGATATTTCGACATTTCGTTTATAATATATTTGAAGCTGAAACAAATTACTTTCCAAATAACTAAACAAAAATGAATAAACATGGCTATTAGCACTGGCAGTGATGAATCGTCTGTATCTGAAGATGAGTTGGATGCCTCTGAAGCTGAAACTGAGCAAAGAAGTACGACACCAATTGCCAAGAAGCAAAAGAAAACAAGTTCACAAGAGCAACCTTTTATGGACAGCTGGTCACAGCTTCCCCAGTTCAAGAAATGGATCCAGAGAAGAGTGGGCAACGATCGAAAAGCGAAACCTTACTGCGGACTTTGTGAGCAGATGTCAACTTGTTCAAAAACGGGCATAAAACGACATGCAACCAGCAAGAAACATCAAAGTAGGGAGAAACTAACTACAACCACAAGGTCCCTCAGTCATATGGTGAGTCATATAAGTAATGATGATGTTGCTACAGCAATGGAAGTGAAAATTTGTGCATTCACAGCAGAGCATAATTTACCTTTGTCAATTTTGGACAGCATAGTCGCCTTTCTTTGCTCTCTGTTTCCAAATGATGATCCATTAAAGAAAGTGAAACTTGGAAAGCAAAAGGCCACCAATGGTTATTCGTCAGGTGCTCGGGTTTGACTATCTTCAAGATATGGTAACATTGTTGAGGTCTAACATGTTCAGTATTATCATTGACGAAGCAACTGATAAAAGTACATAGAAACAGCTGGCAATTGTGGCAGTTTTGTTTAATATGGAAAAGTTTGAGTTGGAGTACTGGCCAGTGGCTATGGTGGAGACCAAAGATGGAAGCACAGATGGGATCTATTCCAAAATTAAAGACACATTTAGTGGTATGAACATTCCTATCAGTAACATTATCGGGTATTCTTCTGATACCACAAATGTGATGTTTGGGGAGAACCACCCGGTCTCTCAATTGCTGAAGTCGGTTATGTACAAGTTGTTAAATGTTTGTGTCATCTTATTCACTTGGTGACATCAAAAGCTGCTTTAATATTACCTAAAAGTGTTGAGGACCTTTGCAGGGATGTATACGCCCATTTCCACAGATCTTCAAAAAGGCAGGACACTTTTAAAGAATTCCAAGCCTTTTTTTATATGGAGCCACATAAGATGCTGTCGCCAGTGCAAACCCGATGGCTTTCTTTACAAGCATGTGTTGCTCGTTAGCTGGAGCAATATGAAGCGATGAAGCACTACTTCATTCTCATAACCAATGACGATCCCAGCAACACTAATGACCAAATTCTAACTTCACTACATAATCAATTCACTCAAGCATACTTAGAATTCCTCAGCTTTCAACTGGAATGATTGAATGGATTTAATCGATTATTCCAAACTGAACTTCCTCTCCTTCATCACCTTAAACGTGAAGTTGAGCAACTTGTCAAAGGAATTGCTAGTGATTTCATGGATATACCTGTTGTTAAAGAAATGCAAGCAAAGGATATCGATCCTACAGATCATCAACTCCATATTCCTTTACACAGGGTTTGAAATAGCCGCCGGCTTCCGGCAATAGCTGGCTGTTTTAGGACCTTGTGGACGATTTTTAATTTCAAAGTATAGGGAATCGGCGAAAATATTATATTTATTCACCGATGACTCGCTTACAATAACACATACAACTACACAGAACTTGACAATGTTAATGTTCGTTCCTACACCAAGTAAAATGTATTACTGTGTTCTTACAAATGTTGTGTTGGTTTACATCACTATTATTTGGCCTATGGGCATGGCTATGCCCACTCCAGAACATAACTAAACTTCGCTTGGAAAATAGCCGGCAAAAATTTTCACCTACAAAAAACAGCCTACAAAATTTGACATATTTTCAGATCGTTATTTCGAACCCTGTTTACATGAAATTTACCTTGGACTGGGCGCTTCAGCTACTTTTCAGGAAATTGAGCAAGGTACAAACAGAGAGGATGTTGAAATATTTTTAACCAATTACAAGAACTTCATGATTGAAAGCATTGTTCAAATCCAAAAACGTTTTGACTTAGATGCAGAATATCATCAAATTGTTGAGTGTCTCTCCCCACACAATGCTGCTGCAATTATGCCAAGATCCTTGTGGCGAATTTCCCAAAAATTGCCTTATCTTGGTGATTTTCTTGATGTAAAGAAACTAGATGTGGAGTGGAGGCAGCAAGCTTTTGAAGAAAATGCAAGTCCTGATCTTCAGTGGGATGATTATTGGAAGATGGTGCGAGACTCTCAGACAGCATCTGGAGAAGCGAAATACCCCAACCTTATGGGGATATTGGCCTCACTACCTTTTTCAAATTGTGCAGTGGAGCATGTCTTTAGCCAGCTTAAGCTGGTTAAAACTGATCACAGAAGCAGATTGAAGTCCACATCACTGATTTCTCTGCTTCGGAGTAAGATGGCCATGAAGAATGGGCACTACTGTGCTGCCAGTCTCAAACCAAGCAAGAGAATTTTGGAACTTGCTTCTGCAATGAAATTAAATGCAACTGATGAAGAGGTGGTTGCAATAAGGAAGGACTTTTTAAGCAAGCTGCATGTTTAAACTGTATTTTGAAATAACTTTTCTATACATACAGATATGACATATCTAAGTATAACCATGTAAATAAGAGCAAGTTTATGCTCTTTTAATGTTCATAATATATTGTTTGATTGATTTTATGTTTGCAAAATTTGAAGGAACTTTTATCATTTTTTGAAAGGAAGTTTTGATTAAAAGAAGGAAATTAAAACTTTTCGAAGGAAATATTGTTTTCTTAAAGTGGAAGGACTGAATGTATCGGCAAACTGGAAAAAAATTCAAGCAGAGGTATCTCAATTATGAAATAGCAACTGGCATCAGCGGAAAAGAGGGTGCAACTCGAGTCGCAACATTGCTAACTGTCATAGGAAACGAAGCATTGGATGTGTATGACACGTTCATGTGGGCTACAGTTTGGAGATGATAAGAAGATTGCTAAAGTTCTAGAAAAATTCGATGAACATTGTGAGCCAAGAAAAAACGTAACCTATGAAAGACACATTTTTTACCAGAGCACAAGAAACCAGTGAGACCATTGATCAATATGTCACAACATTAAAAAGGCTTACTGACACCTGTGAATTTGGGACATTAAGAGACACTCTCATCAAGGACAGAATATTCCTGGGAGTGAAAAAATCAGAAAATTCGTGAGAGACTTCTTCGAGAGCCAGACCTAACCCTTGAAAAAGCACTTGATTTGGTTAGAGCTGCAGAACACACGGAAATGCACATCAAAGTAATCAATGACGGGTCAGCGGTACATGGTATAAATCACAAGAAAAGTAAATTTAATGAGAAAAAAACTCAAGAGGAAAACTCAAAGAAATCCAATCGACCAGAGAAACCCTTTCACGTCTGAGGTGTTCAACTGTCGTAACTGTGGAACTAAACACAAAAGGAAAGAATGTCCTGCATATGGGAAAACATGTCATCGCTGTCATAAATCGAATCATTTCAAAGCTATGTGCAGATCTATCAAGAATGTCAATGCTGTAGAGCGACAAGAAGATTCATACCTTGAAGAAACACTGTTTGTAGGAGCAGTGACGTCAGAAGTTTAAAATGATGAATGGTATGTTACTACGAAAATCGAGAAGCAGAACATGAAGCTCAAAGTGAACACTGGTTCGCAGGTAAACATTCTCAATCTTAATCAATTAAAGAAGATTAAGCCCCAACCAAGTCTCAAAGAATCAACTCATAAATTAATCAGTTACACTGGAAACAATCTTGCTGTGTTAGGAACTACAGAACTATGTATATAATCAGAGACAAATCAATCTAGAAACTTAACTTTCTATGTGGTAGACACAAATCAACCAGGTCTTTTGGGACTCAGAGCAGCTCAGGAACTCAGGTTGATAAAATCGTGGGAAATACCAGAGTAGACTCAATGGCCAAGAAACCACCAGCAAATCTCAAAGAAGAAGTATTTAAGAAACAGAAAATCTTCACTGGTTTGGGTCATTTAGAGAGAGAATACCACATCGAGGGTTGATCCAACAGTGACACTGGTCATTAATCCTTCTAGAACTATTCCTGCTGCTCTTCGCAGTAGAGTGAAAGAGGAACTTGATGATATGGAAAGGAAAAACGTAATTTGTAAAGTGGAAGAGCCAACTGATTGGGTCAGTTCTATGGTTGTGGTGGAAAAACCTAACGGAAAACTTCACATTTGTTTAGACCCAAAACATCTAAACAAAGCAATCAAGCGTGAACACTTTCAATTACCGACAATTGAAGATATCACTACACGTATGGCCAATGCCAAGTGGTTCTCCAAGCTAGACGCCAATCATGGATACTGGCAAATACCTTTGGATGAGGAAAGTCAACTCCTTACCACTTTCAACACTCCTTTTGGCAGATATTGCTACACTTGCACTCCATTTGGTATCACCTCAGCACAAGAAGTTTTCAGAAAAGGATGCATCAACATTTCGACGATCTCGAAGGTGTTGAAACGGATATTGACAACATCCTTATTCACTGAACGACAGAAGAGCATGATCGACGCCTCGAATCAGTCTTAGAAAGATGTGAGAAGATCAATCTAACGTTAAACAAAGAGAAATGTGAATTCAAATCCAGAGAAATCACATATGTTGGACACAAACTGACAGAAAATGGCGTTAAACCTGATGAAGTGAAAGTTAAAGCTATTAATGAAATGGAAGCACCAACAGACAAGAAAGGTGTGGAGAAACTGCTTGGAACTGTGAACTATTTGGGAAAATTCATTCCAAATTTAGCAACCATTGCCAAACCAATCAGATCGTTGTTGAAGAAAGAGATCGAATTCCAGTGGTCTTTCAAGCAACAGAAAGCATTTCAGGATATTAAGGACACTCTCACCAAAGATGAAGGTCCAGTATTAAAGTTTTTTGATGTATCGAAGCCGGTCACCATTAGTTGTGATGCGTCACCTACAGGTTTGGGGGCAGTTTTGTTGCAGGATGGCTACCCAGTGGCGTACACGTCAAGATCGTTGACAGAAACCGAATCAAGGTACGCCCAAATAGAAAAAGAACTTCTGGCTGTGCAATTCAGTCTTGATCGATTTCATCAATATGTGTACGGAAAGGAAGTTATTGTTGAGTCAGATCATAAACCTTTGGAGATGATAGCAAAGAAATCGCTGGCATTAGCTCCTCCTCGTTTGCAGAGATTACTCCTGAGAATACAGAAGTACAACTACACTATCGTCTACAAATCAGCTAAAGAAATGGCATTGCCAGATATGTTGTCAAGAGCTCCATTACCCGAAACTGACGAGGAAGTGGAAAAAGAGATTAATTTGCACGTACATCTCGTAAGTTCAACCCTACCAGCTTCAGAATTCAAATTACAAGAAATTAGAGAAGCAACAAAGAGCGACGAAAAACTAAGAACATTATTGAATATCATTCAGAATGGATGGTCAGATCAGAGAGAGAGTGTACCATTGTCAGTCCTACCCTATTGGAACATTCGCGATGAATTGTCTGTGATAGATGGAATCATCTTGAAAGGAGACCATATTGTCGTACCATTAGCAATGAGAAAGGAAATGCTACAAAGAATATATCATGGTCACATGGGGATCAAGAAATTGAAGCGAAGAGCTCGGGATGCTCTTTATTTGCCTTTGATGAGCAAGCAGATAGCTGAAATGGTATCGAAGTGCACCGTATGTCTTGAGCACAGAAAGGAGAATATCAAAGAGCCTATGATACCTTTCAGAGTACCAACCATACCTTGGGAAGTGGTGCCAACAGATTTATTTAGTTTCAACAACTCAGACTATCTACTTATTGTTGACTATCTTTCCAGATACTTTGAAGTTGTTACGTTACCAGACACAAAGAGTTCAACAGTTATCACATACTCCAAGTCGATATTCTCCCGACATGGTATTCCTGCAGAAGTCGTAAGTGATAATGGGCCACAATACTCATCTAGAGAATTTCAAGCATTCACAGAAAGCTGGGAATTCAAGCATACGACAGTTAGTCCTCTTAACTCACAAGCCAATGGTTTAGCAGAAAGGACTGTACAAACTATCAAAGATATTTTAGTTAAATCGAAGAAAGATCAACAAGATCCATATTTAAGTTTATTGGAATATCGAAACTCTCCTATCGATGATGTGGGAAGTCCAGCGCAGTTACTGATGAATGGGCGTTTGTGTTCAAGAATTCCTCAAACGATATTGCAGTTGAAGCCCCGTGTTCTAGATCCTGTTGACGTAAAGAAAAAATTGAATCTCAAGCAGCAGAAACAGAAATTCTATTATGATCGTCAGTCAAAATCCCTTACTTAAGTTTCACGAAGGAGATAGAATTAGTGTATTTAGCATATTTACTTATTTAGCATATTTAAATTATTGGTCAGCTGCAAGCATTGTGGGCTCATGTTGTCAGGTTCTCTCTGTAACTGACATTGTTTTTCTCATGTAGTTTAAATAAATATACTTTTCAATTGCAATCAATCTTGGCTTCTAAAATCGAAATATAACAAAATAAATATCGCAATGCAGGAAAATATAACTCAAGCCCAATAACATCTGCATGAGCAAACAACTTGAATAAGGGCTAGGAACCTATTAGAAACCAAAAGGCTTTTATTTAAGGTCCCTAGATACAAATTCAAATTAAATAACTATAACATACATAAGGTGCCAGTTCGAGTGTTTTTCATTGTACAGGGTGTCCCAAAAAAAAGAAAGTATCCTATTGTTATAATTTGAATGCCCTAGCACTAAGTTGATCCCACAGGTGCATAAACTTCTGCTTCTGGAATTTAAAATAAAAAAGCAAACCGTTTATTAGTGTAATCATTTTGCTTGACTCGGGCGTTAAAATATTTGGACAAAGCGAAAACGTTTTAAAATGCTTAAATGTAAATACAAGTTCATTAAATTCCCAGGCATGTAATCATGTGCGTTTAAGAGTGGCTTAAGAACAATGAGATAATTTCTATAGTGTCACTTTTTTTTGGGACACCCTGTAGTAAGGATAGAAAAAAAAGAGAATAGTAACAAGTACTAAAACGTAATGATAGACTATTTTAATTTTGCAATAGAATTATTGAAAGAAAAGTAGTGTGTTATGTGTTAACAAATTAAGAATAATATAGTATATTTACATATAGTTTATTTACAACTAGGAAAAGGATGTTAATTTGTTGTATTTAAATGCAGATAGAAATTTTTTTTTGTTTATTTTTCTTGAAAGACCCATAAGATCTATTTTCTTTATATTTCGAAGGAAGATTATTCCAAATATCGATTCCCTTATTAGTTAGAGTATGTTTTGTATGATTTGTTCGGCTACACTTTTTGTGTAACAATGACGAGTTTCTTGTATTGTAGTTGTGGATTTCCTTATTGGTAGAAAAATAATTTGTAAATGTTTCTGGTAAATTTTGAAGATGAAAATACCTGTACATAAAAATACTTGTTAAATAATCATTTATTTGTATATGTTAAGTATTTGCAATTCTAAAAAGATGGGTTCAGTGTGGTTAGAATAATTCTTAAAAGTCATTAATCTTACAATTTTTTTTTGAATGTTCATTAACTTTGAAATACGAGATTTGCAAGTATTACCCCAAATGAGGTTACCATAGATAAGATATGATAGACCAATGCGTAGTAAATGAGTTTTAGAGAATTTAAGTTTGTAAAATGTCGAATTCTGGAAATAATAGCTGCACATCTGATCATTTTCTTTGCTATTAAATCTAGATGATGAGACCATGTTAAAAAATCATCAATAACAATTCTGAAAAATGTGATACTCTTGGCTTGTTTTATGTCCTCATTATTTAAAGAAATTTTAACAATATGTTTAGATTTTTGCATGTAAGATATCAAATCTATTCTACATGATTACTGTTTAATAGTGCTTGAAGGGTAGCTTCCAGAGAGAAATCATCCTTGTTGTACCTTTGCACGTAAAATAGAATGGTCAGCTTCTCCTGCTTCGTATTGTAATAAAAAATAATTGGAGTCGTACTGGTCACCACAACAGCAGCTCTTCCAGAATATTTGTAGATATTCCTTCCATTTTCCCTGACCTTGTCAACATGTCTTTTTCTTAAAAGATTGTTGCCTTTACATTGCACGGGAGAAAATACCTTCCCAGCATTATCACTATTGGTAATCTCAACCAGCATTCTCGGTTAAGTAGCCATCAATAAGCGGCCCGCTCTTCTAGTATAGCATTGAGATTCCGCAACTCAACTGTCGAGGCATTCCAAAAGCGCTCAGATCTTTTGGTTTCCTTGCCAGAAGAACCAAGTTTCAGGTGGAAAACCACTGCATGAAATCACTGCTAGCTGGCACCATGTTGCTCGCTCATATGAATGAATATTTTGGAATTTGGAGGGAAATGGCAATAACTGCTGCACCAATCGCGCCCGCGCTTCCGGGAGCAAACTGCATAGCAACCAACCATTGTGCAAATAACATGAATAATCTAATATTTAGGCATTTTAGATTGCTATAAAGAGTGAAATAATGTATTTCATCTTTGGTTGTTCGTCAGACGAGAGTAAACACATTGGTGACACTTTGTTGCACATGCAGTTTTCAAAAGATAAACTGCTAAAAATATAGCTTTTATTTCACCAAATAGCAAAGTATCTTGCAGATATTATTAAAAGAGCTCAAGCGAAGTAATTCCATGATAAATAAGTGAACAATGAGACCAAAAAAGCGACTAAATTACAATTTTGGAAAGTACATTAATTTAATGGCTTCCCGCAAAAGAAGCCATTTTAGAGCAGAAGCAATAAAGAGTATTTTGCAAGCTTTTCAATTCCCTGTTATGAAGGTTCAGAATTTGCATGAGCCAAGTAACGGCATAATTTAATACACTGATTTTAAACTACATTATTTTTGAAATGAGAGCTCGTTTCAAGACAAAGTTTATAGAAACAGATATAGTATTCATTGTAGAATATTCTACTTAGTTTTAATGCGGTTTTACTCGAAATTTTTCTTGCCAAAAATGTATATACGCACATGACAAGTTGAACCTACTGTCTTCTGAAAGTACTTTGGCTAAAATAACAACTTGAGCAAAAAGACCAACAGTAGGGTCACAAAAACAGCCGAAATCATGCCATCAAATGCACGGAAAGTTCTTCTAAAAACTTAGTTTTAAACTAGATTGAACTTGCTTTAATCGAATTTCATGAAAACATGCCAGGTATTTTCATTCAAAAACACGATAAAAAAATCGTAACTACTCACTTGGATTTAGTGTTCATGTTTCTTGCGATTTCCCACTTCACTTTTCCATTAGATTGAAAGAAATTGCTGTTTTTTCTGGCTAAAAATCGTGCGACTTGATTTGGACAAGAACTTGACTTGAAACATATGCACACTCCCTTATGTTTTACAACATATTTTATATGTAAAACTCTTTAAAAACCTCCTCTTTTTCATCCTTAAAACTTACTGCAACGTCCCATCTTGTGACACTTTGCGGTTGTAACAGGTTTTGTAAATCTTTGCAAACTTTTGATAAATTTTCTCGCATGATGTATCGTTTGAAAGCCCGAATTTTGCACTTTTTACTTGTGACCGTTGCTAAGCAACTTGATAAATATGCGCTAGACAACCATGCCTGGAAGTCAATGTGTCATCCAGGGCGCATGAGGGCACAATTGAGACTTGTAAGCAACCGATGCCAAAACGAAAGAAAATGAGCAATGTTGAAAAGGGAATTGCATTAATGTGCAAAACATTAAATGAAACATCTAAGAAGGAAATGGAGAGGTTAGATTTATATATTTCCACATGTGAACAGCCCCAAGTTAGCCGTTTGTAGGATCATAAGGGAAATGCCAATTCCGACAATCTACAGATTTCCAAAATTTTCTCACTCAGCATCAACCATGGTGGTGCCTCATTGGAAAATTAACCCTTTAAGTAGCAATGCACTCTGATGCACCCTACTTTAGTATTTTACTCTGTCTAACGCCAGAAGATTTTAATCGTCAAGTGAAGAGTGCTGCCACTCGATCAATGGTTAATCAATATCACTTCCCCAAATACATGATACATGGAGACCACTACATCCCTCGCCCCAGACTGCTGCTAGATGTTCTCTATTTAGTTTATTGGGGGTTATTTTGAAGCTTTCTAACTCCACGTTTCTTTAGAGTTAAATTAACCCCCTATTAACCAGTAATTGTAATTCAGAGTTTATGTTAGTAAAAATTGTTAGAAATTGTTGACAATGTTTCTTTGTGTATATAGAAAATGGATGGTGTCTGCAGTGGGAGGGGCGGGAGATTGGAAATTCTGAAGTGCCATTTGGGGGGGAGGGGTCGATAACCTGATAGGGGCCTAGAGAAAAGAACTATTTTCAAGATGTTTTCATCCCCCTCTCACAATCAAATGCTTTGATTTTTTATGTGCTGCACCTTCATGTGCTTTAATTAACTTAATTGGCTTTATCTTGTTCTTTACGTTTGGCAGAACTTTAAAAGCAGAAAATGAAAAGTGCCAAAAAGAAATGGATTTCCAATTAAAGATGATGTTGTTAGCCTTTTGATGGGAAATAACAGGCAAAGCCAAAAAGTACCACAGCCATTAAGCCAGTATCAAACCAGTTACCAGATAATTTTAATGGTTTCGCACATAATTCATCTTATATCAACCAACTCAACTTAACTCCTTTGAATGTATCTATAATTATAACAATTGTTTTCCATTTAAACGAGTTAAAAGTAAAAAATGTACTATGAGTAAAACATGGCTGTCAAGGGGACCTTATTAAATCTATAAAGTGAAAGAGTAAATTATATAAGCGATATTTAAATGTTCCAAAGTATGTTAATGAAGTATCTTACAAAAAATACAAAAACAAATTAAACCATTCTTTGAGATTGCCAAACAGAATTATTATGACAAACAATTAGATTATTTTAAGACGAATACTAAAAACACATGGAAGATTTTTAATGAAGTTATTAATAAAAACGAACGTGTTAGTAAATTATCGTCGACATTTATTTTTGATAATCAGGAAATATCTTGTCCATTTACAATTGCTAATCATTATTTACTAACATTGGCCCTAATTTAGCTAAAAAGATACCGGAATCAGTAGTCTCTCATTGTTCTTATCTCTCTCATAACTATCCCAACTCCATATACTTTAACACTGCAACAACACAAGAAGTATCTGAAATAGTTAATTCATTGACTGGAAAACCGGATGATTTGACATACAAAAGGGTAATATCACTTGGACATTGATGATGATTTGTAAATTTAATGCATATTGCTTTTCTGTTTGTTTTTTCAATAATATATAAATTGTATTTCTGGTACGCATTAATGTGTGTGTTTTGCAACACAATAAACACAAACAAAACTACATAAACAAATTCATAATCGATGCCACAATATTAATTAAATCAACTATGTGAAGGCGCACTTATAGAAATAGACGTAATAAACAGTCCATAACAGACTGTTCATAGAACATATTTAATGATGATATCAACCGCATTTACACTAGGTTTAGGTGACTCTATATAAGGGTTTTGTCTGTTGTTCATAAAGGAACACAAAGTAAAGGACTTGATTGCATTTTACATCAAATCTTTGACATCTACAAATATTATGGAGAAACCTTCAGTTGTACTCATGGAAAATTGGTGGTCATGGCTAATTTTCACCTGCATGCTGTGGATTTCTCATATTAAAGAATGGATAACATGGCTGTGTGTCAAAAATTAGATTTAAGGTGCAGGAATTTATGAATTATGTACCAAAATCATGCAACAAAAGTAATTTCTCCTGTACAATTTAAGTTAGTACATTAATCACCCTGACCAATGTCATCTCCCACAGCTGACTTGAAGTAATTAGCAAAATGGTCTCTAATTGAAACAGAATCATCTTGAGCATGAGTGTTGTCTAATGGATCTGGTTGAGGAAAGGTAGCTGTTGCTTGGCTTGATTCCTCCAACCAATGTAGCAGGATCTCTTCATTATTCATTCCACATATGTTGTGTAAAATGCATGATGCAGCAATGACAATGATCAAATTACTTATATCCATGTCCACTCTCTTTAGGAATCTATGAAATCTCCCCTTCCATCTGCCAAATGCATTCTCTACTGTAACCCTAGCCCTACTCAAACGATAATTAAACCTTCTATGCTGCCGGATTGTATTCGGGTTCTCTGGGTATGGTTTTAAGAACCAAGGTAGTAAGGGATAAGCAGGGTCTCCAAGAATAACAGGACCAATCAATTTTCCACTGACATTCACATGGTAGTCTTCAGGCAAAAGCTTATTTTGTTCCCTAATCTTAAAAAGTTCTGAATTTGACAAGACTCTTGCGTCATGGACGCTACCAGACCAGCCAATGACAATATCTCTAAACAAGTATTTACAGTCAACAACTGCTTGCACAACAACACTGTGATAACCTTTACAGTTAACATAGTCGGCGTGATTCTCTGTTGGAGCAAGAATGGGAATGTGTGTACCATATATTGCTTCAAAACAAGCAGGAATCCCCATTTTCTTTTATAAGTATGTGCAATATCTTCCAATTCAAGTCGTTTCGGTAAATAGATAAACTTTGATCTTAATTTTTTTACTATTGCTGTGCATACATCTTTCACACATAGGCACACAATTGATCTCGACACTCCAAATAAGTTTGCAATTGTACAATACTCCGCTGTTAATGATAAAAAATAGAAAGTTATGGCGACCCTTTTTTGTACAGATACTGGCTTGCATAGGATTGTTGTTTTTCGCTTGATATCATTCTCGATTACATTAACAACAAACTCAAACGTTTGTTTTGTAACTCTAAAGTTTTCGTACCATTGTACATCAGTATAAAACTTGTCTGCTAAATGAAACCATGCATCTGTATGAGGATGCATCCATAATGTTCATTCTTTTGGTATGTTGAGAACAAGACTCAGAAGGGCAATTCATCATAGTTTCCTTTTCATATATTGCCTTTTAATTTTTTAGACCATATTTCTGTGGTTTTTCTTACATCTGAGTATTTTTTTTCTTGGTCCAAATTCTATTTTTTAAAATTTTTTTTTAGTATATAGAATTACCTTCTTGTTATATTGCACAGTTCAAGATTTTAGCATGCTCAGCATGGACAGAGATTTTTGACATGGCACGGAAAGAAATCAAATATAAATGTGCCATGCCAAAATTCAATTTTGCTGTGCCCAAAAATTTGCTGTGCTGTGCCGAAAAAAGTTGTAGTGTAAACAGGGCTTATAAGTCTAATGTACTTGAGTAGTCTTTGTGTTATATTGAATTAGTATAGGTAATCACACGGGAAGGAGTGCAATTACTGATTAACACAACGAGTGATATTTGAAAAATGTGCCAAAATTGCATGAGCCACCAAGGCGAATGCAATTTGGCACATTTTTCAAATATCGCGAGTGGTGTTAATCATTAATTGCACGACTTGCCCATGTGATTATTTATTTATTATATGCATGACAAAATCGATTTCAACTGCATTTTGTCAAGAATTTTTAATTCTTTTGTAAGCAATTTGGTATAAACAAACTTGGGAAATGACTATAAACTCATAAAGGCACAAAACTTAAACTAGAACACAAGATTCAAACTCAAACAACATATTTTAGACTAAGAAAATCTTTATAAATTGTATTTCAAACTTACATAGTCGCGTTTCGCTGCATCCCGCCAAGATTATTTCTTAAAACTGTTTCCAGATATTTTCCACAGGCTCTTTTTGCCATACAATGTTTTTTAAACTCATTCTTGTGCCAAAATTCAGTTAAATTCGTCCACATTTGTTAGAAATACTTATCTAAATTTCGCCGCCATATTGTTGTTTTGATTTCCCGCTCCCTCCAACCATCACGAAAATCTTAATAATTGCACTCCTCTTAACCAATCAGATTGCAGTAATTTTGTCATGTATATAATAAATGATATTATATGTAGAATTTAGTCCTAAACTGTACTAGTATTATGCTATGCTGTATAATTATTATAATATACTGGGTGGCATAAAAAAAAAGTTAACCTGTTTGATTTGTTTAAACTTAAAAGCTAAAAGAGCTATTACACGGGAACTACGTGCATTGCATTCAGTGTTGTCTAACTTAAATTTTGATATACGCCCTGTGCATTTTCGTGCAATATTGACCGAGAGAGCTGCGTTTAAACTTGAGTAACCATTTTTGAAAGTGTCGAGAATTAGCCAAAAATGGCCTATCAAATATTAATACAGCAATAACCTGTGCTTAGACACACTATAATCAGAAAGTACATGTTCGTTGTCAGAGACCTCCCCAACGCCGCCGGTATAACCTCACTAGCATTATTTACCCTTGCTTATGATTTTTCCCGCCTGCAAAACACTATGTAAAGTTATTTGTAATATTTGCAAAGTTCAACTTTGCAATAACTTTGCAAACGTGCATATTTGGGCAAAGTTAATATTTGTTGGCAACATTTCATAGCGTAAAGTCATTTGCAAAGTTATGCAAGATTTACCTTTACGCATGATTTTACAACATCTTTACATACTGCGATCATGGCAATGGCTCTTAAACAGCAGGTGTAAAGGTATTGCTAATTTTCATAATTGCAAGTGCGCAAGGTTAAGCAAATTTGGTAAATTTAATTTTTGCAACAACTTTGCCATTTACTTTACGCATGCGTAAATCTGTCTTTTCATCCCATGATAATCGTGCAAGGAACAGCAACTGTTAGCTCAGAGCCGTCAATAATAGTCTATCAGCTGATTCCTGAGTTGTTGCATCATTTAAATTACACATGTGCAGTCTCCGATTTTATACTAATATATTTAGCGTTTTTGTTGTGGTATGTTAAATGACAGATTGCGCATGTGTAACCAATTAAAGCGTAAAAAGTGTGCATAAGCAAAAAAGCAAATGTTTTAGCTTAAATTTGCTGATTTTACAACAGAGTGCAACTATGCTATTACAAACTAATTGCATGGCTTTTCGGGAGATTAGTGATTAAATGACCCCTTACCCTTGGCAGGTTTGCGGAATTCCGCAAACCTGCCTCGGGTTACAGGGCCATTTAATCACTAATCTCCCTCAAGCCATGCTATTACTTATAATAAGGTGTGATTGTTTAAGGACCCTGATGAAAAACAATGTAAGGTGATTGAGGCACCACTTATTAAAGATTATTATTATTAGACCACTCTGTCTAATTCCAATGCCATTTACGGGATACAACATCCCATATTTGAAGGAAATCATTGGTTCAAGCACCTTGATTTATATCAGACCAATGGAAAGTGTAATATCCATGAAAAAGTTGGATACATCTGCAACATCTGCTTCACTGGCAACTGAACGCACCCGATGCATAACTTAGAATGTGAACCCATCATCATAGACACTGGTGACAGTGAAGTTTTCCAGAAACCCATTACCACTGACATTGGTGAAAGTGAAGAGGAACAGGAGTTTATCCCTATTGAAGTTGTACCACTTATAGATGAAGGTGACAGCCCTCAAAAATAACCTGGTCTACACAGCTAAAGAACTATTTGCAGATTCAAAAGTGGAAGAATTGGAGGAGGTGGCTTAGCAATCTACGTCCATGGATGAAGTTACTGAGTTTATGCTGGACAAACTTGGTACTGAAGAAGATGAAAGTGCGTCTTTAGAAGATCTTATTACAATTTATTATTATTAATAATAATCCTTACAAATAAATAATCATACAAAAATAACCCTCCCACATCTAGCAAAGCTATTCGAGGTGGGGGGGGGGGAGGTTAATATAATCAACCAATCTGTCACAAGAAAAATAACCATCAAGCTCTATAGCAGAACTGACTGCTACAGATATATACCTCCAAAGTCGGTCTTACTATTAATGAAATTTAAATGAAAGTAATAAACCAGAAAAGAAAAGCACTCATACAAACAATTGTTGAACAATTGATAAATTAATAAACCTCAATCGAACAAGAACTACATGAATGTATCAGATACTGTTTGCATTATAGTCGTCAGAAGAAGAAAGAGCATCAAAAAGTATACTCTTGCATCCTTTAGAAAAACTGGATTTACTCTGTCTACGAACTGAAGGTGGCAAACTATTCCATACTTTTACGCCAATTCTAGAAAAAGATTTAGCTCGGACATTTAGTCTTGAAGAAGGTAGATAAAGATTCCCTCGGGCTGCAGACCTAGTGCTATAATTATGTGTATCAGTTATGCTATTAAATAATGATGCAATATTAACAGGTGACTCATTGTTAATAATGTTATGCATAGTGCACGCAATATTTAAAAAATAAAGAAAATCTAGTGGAAGAATATTTGATTTAATAAAGAAGGGTATCGCATGATCTCTATAACCTCCAAAGTTTATTAAACGAACAACTCATTTTTGTAACACAAGAAGTTGATTGAGATCTTGTTTGCAAGCTTGTCCCCAAACATTATAGCATAATAAATCCTTTCCAAAGTATGCTTAGGAGTAAAATTTGTAATTCTAGCGATGATTCCAACAATCCGACTTAGCTTAAGGGAAATGTAATCAATATGAGATTTCCAAGATAAATTGGCATCAATCATCAGACCAAGGTATTTCACTGTATTTTTCCTCTCTAATGGTAGCATCATTTTAGAGCTCTGATCAAATACTTTGAGTTGAGGCACATAATCTATCTTTTTCTACCTTATATGGAAAATAACAAAATTAGATTTCCTAATGTTAAGGGTCAACTTGTTAGCTTCAAGCCAACAGCAAACCTTCTTTAGTTCATTATTAACAATTTCGTCCAATTTTCGAAGATTTTTATGAGAGTAAAGTATGCTAGTGTCGTCCGCGAACAAATAGAAATGTAATTTATTGGATGATAAATAAATGTCGTTCACATATAAAAAAGCAAGGGTCCTAGAACAGATCCTTGAGGAACTACATGGGAACATTTTTCCTTTTTGGATATGAAATCACATATAGCTGTTGTTTGATACCTATTGTTTAGGTATGATCCAAACCATTCAAGTACAATACCTCGAATACCATAATGATTAAGCTTTCTTAGTAAAATATGATGATCGACAGTGTCAAACGCTTTTTTTTAAATCAATAAAAATACAGCAGGTAAATTTCCTATTGTCCATATTTTTGTGGATTTGATCAACAATATCAATAACAGCATACTGAGTTGAGTAATGTTTCCTAAAGCCATACTGCACAGGAAATAGCAAGTTTTGTGTATCTATAAAGTCATTTAATCTAAGGTACATAACTTTCTCAAAGATTCGATTGAACACAGACAACAAGGAGATAGGTCTATAATTATCCGGTTCAGACTGGTCTCCAGACTTGAAAATAGGAACAATTTTGCCATTTTCAATTTGCTTGGATACACACCTTGTTTGATAGACATGTTAATAATCATTGCTAAGACAGGACTAATGGGATTTTGATAGCTTAAGCAAAAAGTCGGAAAGGAGTAAAGACCATAAGTCTTATTTCCTGGTATACTAGATATTTGTTCTTGAACCTCATAGACAGAAACAGCATTGAAAAAGAAAGATTCATTAACAGTGTCCCCAGATATGATGAGAATAAATTATCAGGTGATGAGAACCTACTAGCTAGTTTTTGCCCTATAGTAGCAAAATGAGCATTGAATAAATTACTAATTTCAAACTGGTCATTAGTTTTTAAACTAGAATTTGTTTTTTTAATGTTTGTAATATTGTGTTTGTTTTTCATTTTTTTACTAGAGATTAGATTGTTAATTCCCTTCCAAGTTTGTTTTATATTGTGTAAATTAGACTCAAAGAGAGAATGATAATATAGGGACTTACTGTGCCTTGTGAGCTGAGAAATTCTATTTCTGTAAAGTCTATATTTATCTCTCACAATTTTTGTAGTATTTCTTTTTAACCTAATTGAAGTTCTGATTCCTTTGGTTATCCATGGTTTAGAAAGTTGTTTTGCTTTACGATTTGATAGAGGCTTAAATGGCGCATGTTTATTTGCTGTTTTGTCGAGTTTGTGACAGAAAGTGCTGAAGGCGGTATCAACATTTGTATGATCCCATACATTCACAAATTGTCTTGAAGATCTGTTAAAAACAACTATTTGTTAAATTTCGCGTTATCCCTTATTTTCTTGTTTCTAGTCCTAGATGAGACTTTGCAGTTATACAGAATACAGACTTGTGAAAAATGATCACTTATGTCAGATACAATATTTCCGCCAAGGGAGTTGCATTCAATGTTATTAAAAAATATATCATCAATAAGAGTTGCAGAATTGCTGTAAACTCTTGTTGGTTTAGTGATAGTCTGGAAAAAGGTGGAGCTGTATAAACAGTTTAAAAATTCTTTACTGTAGTTACTTGTTTCATATTTAAGAAGATCTATGTTGAAGCCACCCATCATGCAAACAGTCTTAGACGATTTGTTGAAATTATACAAGGTTTCACTTATATAATCTACAAATGTAGTTGTATCATTGTGCTGTCGATAAACAACATCACAAACAATACTTTGGTTATCATTCATAGCAAGTTCTATCCATAGAGCCTGAAAGTAAATATTTGAAGTCCTCTCAATGACAGAATAATTGATATTATCTGCTATATACATGCCCACCCCACCTGCTGATAGCGGAGTAGGAACGTATTCAAAATTATACCCTGGTAAATCGGGGTTAAAAGTTAGGGGCATATCTCCAACTATCATCGTTTCAGAAACACCAATGATATCAGAATAAACTTTAACTCACTCAATAGGTGATTCTGAAATGCCTCTACATTTCTTTTGAGGCTTCTAACATTATTATGCAAAAAATGATAGTTTAGGATTACAGGTATTTTGTATGGTATTGTTATGCAAATCAAAGCTGTGAGGGGAGAAGTATCGGCAGTCATGCTGAACAATGTTATGCAAATTGCGATCAGGATTAATGTCATCAAAAGTACAGTTGAAATTAAAAATATTTAGATCAGGCTAGGCAATGAATCTAAATTGTTTTTAGAAGACAGTGCATTAGATAAGCTGTTATTGAAATTACCATTAGCTTGCAAAATGTTTTGGCGATAATAGGGCAAAAGAGAAAGATGATATCGATTTTCTTGGCATCGATCTTTATAGCTCGAAGCCATTATTATAACTTGAATATCATTAGTAAATAACATTAGTATTTAAGCTACAACAGCAATCACTTATCTGGATCATCATTAGCACTTGCGGCCAACTTCCGTAGATCTTCCAACTCACTTATCTTGACTTTACGTGTGTTATCTTGTTCACGAAGGAATACTGAGTTATTCTTTGCCCAACAACAAGCATAGTTGTTCATTGACTTGAATTTCTTTGCTTCATAGAGCAGAAACTGGGCCTTTGGCATAAGGTGATCTAAAACTCTGATCATATCCGAGGCTGCATCTAGCTCATTACTGAATCCCAATTGCAAGGGCTTGACATTCTCCGCCTCTTTTCGGACTTGCATGAGAGACTCTTTCGATAAGCGCCTGGTAAACTTGCACACTATAGGCTTCGGTTTACCCTGACTGACTTGTCTGACCTGATTGAGTTGTTTGTCAAGAAAAACCTGTTAGGATACTCTGAAGATGAATATCTGTCTATTGACCGAGAGTCACTGTGGATGGACATTATTAGGTTTTACAAAAAATCGATTGGGAAACCTGACCTTCTTAAAAGAGAGTTATCTGTTTTGTTTCAAAGGATGAAGACGGCCTTGACAGGGGTGCCATGAAAGTTGAATTCTTCGCATTAGCACTGCAAGAAGTGAAAAACAGGCTATTTGAGGGAAAGGAACCAAACTTGATACCTACCGATAAGATGCTACCAAGGAATTGTTGTTTCAGCTTGCTGGAGTGATAATCAGCCACTCAGCCAGCAAGCTTCGATTGACTTTCCAACTCTTGCTCCTTATCTCTACGCCTATATTGTTGGTTATGCAGAAGATGAAATAGCTCTGCTCATGAAAAAGGAGTTTATTCTGTTGGATGCTTCTACCTCTGTGCTACATGATCTCCTTACCGGCCTCAAGGCTTGCTAAAATAATGCTGATATTCAAGTTCTTTTGGAGGAGAATCAAATGAGTGAGGCATTTTGGGAATTGATAAATTCTTCACGATGGCCAAAGGAACAACCTGTTAACATCAGCACAAGGGATTTCCTTCTTCAGCACCTGGTGCACCATGAGTTGCTCACATCAAAGAAAAATGAATTAAATGACTTGAGAGGATTAAAGTCATTGGGTTTCCTTGATCTGATTTCTAAGAATAAAGAAATGTTCAAAGTCTTGTTCCGTGCAACTGAGGGTAAACTGTTGAATTTAGATGCCTTCAAAGATATGATGCTCAACATCCTACCATCCAATTTCACCGAGGAGCAGTCACACAAGTGGTTTTTCCGACTACCTTGACCAGAACAAAAATCAGGACTTTCCTGGAGGCAACTGTTGCCAGTCACTTCTGCAGTTCTAGACAGGTTGGTCTGTCATTCCATTTGATGGTCTTACAAAGAGGCTAAAAATTAACTTTCTTTCTGATAAGCATAGTCTTCCAATATCATCAGCATGTACAGCTACATTGCGATTACCTACAGTCCACAGCTCGAAGATTACCTACAGTCCACAGCTCGATTTGAAATTTGGAAAAGTAGGATTTCCAAATCCATGATATGCTTAGACTTGTACAAACACATGATTGCAATGGTTTATAATTGAAATATTTCAGGTAATGTATTGGATCGAATAACTCACTGAAAATTTAGCTTTGGTTACGTACTGCATATAGTGAGTCTGATGTGTAGCTTTCTACAAATATTATGGGATACAAACAATGTCAACCTACACTGGCGGTTACTGAGTTCACTAATCATGGCATTAGATTGCAATTATTAAAGATGTGTAATGCAATAGAAAAAAATGGAAAATCCCTATGTGTTCATACATTCATATAGTGAAAAATCAGGTTTTTTACTTTGCACCTTTGAACCAGAAGCCCAATGCAGGGCCCATATGGATACCAGCTGAATGGGCTACCCTGCTAAAACAAAGTCACAACAACAACTTCACTTACCATGGGCTTCTTAAAGAACAGGTCAAATGCTACAGTCTACTGTGAACTCAGTACCATTGTATAGACCACAAAGCAGAACATTGCTTTAAGATAATGAAAACCATTAAACAGATGGTGTTAACCAGTACTAAATATGTTGAATAGGAAGGGATGTGTTTCACCTCTTAATAGTTTCCCAGATCATTGTTTGTTTTAATCGATATTTGGCAGTATGTTTGCATGTATCTTTTAATGAGCTTTATATTACTCTTGAGATAGTACAAAGAGCGTTACATTTAGAAGAAAAACTTTTAGAGTTGAGTTTATATACATACTGATCATAAAAAATACAGTACCATAAATATATTATGTAGTGTGTCAAATACCACTTCTTGTTCTCATGTCAATTAAGATCCAGAGCCTTGGATTTCAGACAAATGTAGCAACCATGCACTGTCTATTTTTCATACTGGTATAAACAAAGCCTTAAATTAAACCACACAGAACAAATCCCTTGCATGATGACATTATTTAATTAACTACAACTTTCATAGTGACTGCCCCAATGCATTAATAATCCCAAACATATTTTCTAACTTTTCTTAAGTGCATGGTTATCAGTCATTCAGTGTTTATACAATTCTCAAAATTGTATTGAATTAAAGTCATTATATAAGGTTATTAGATTCTGTATTTGTCTGTGTACCTTGCAGTGTCACAGTGTCTGAAATTTACCTTATCCCAATATCCATGGGTACCAAAAATGTGGTTTTGAATACCAAACTGTGAATGACTTGTATCCCGACTGGATATACTAAGAAAATTTCAAACATTAAGAAAATGTTAACACCTTGGACAGGCCCCTGATAGCTTTGAATACTATCAGTTTACCACCACGGGACCATTGGTCCCAGAAAATGTTTGAGGTTGGCAGGAAAAAATGGAGGGTAAAACTTAAAAGTCTTAAAAGAAAAAAAAGTCAAGAGAAAGAAAGAAAGGAAAAACAGAAAGAAAGAAAATGAGGAAAAAATGACATAATTGAAAATAAGCTGTATGTAGTGTGAACTGGTGATGTTTGCAACATGCAAAGTAATACAAGTTTCCAATATACCAGTACAGGCGGCACTCCAGCAGCCTGATATTATGGTAAAAGACAGGCAGACAGCAGCATAGCTGATATTAAGATGAAATCCTCTATGCGGTTGTTATAATTGATTTCATCTAGTGTATTAGCTACTTCTGAAAATAGCACTCCAATTATATATGGACAATTGTTGACAATTGCAATTTTTGATCGTTGGTACCTCAACCGCTACAAATTTCAACTGATCAATAATTGTTGCGACGGCGCTACTATTTCTATAATAAAAGGTTGATTTTTGTTGCAGTGTGTGAATTTATGGTTACTCTGTTGAACAGTAGGTGGTTTTCAAGTCATCTTAAAGAATCATTGTCACCACAATGCATTGCGTGCATGAATTCGGCCGTGGCCATTTAGTTGGTTGAGAATTCATTAAAATAAAGTTGCGTTTTGTCATCCGTGAATATCCTAAACATCTTTCTTGAATATTAAATAGTTGACATTGTTTTGGTTTCTATTTAGTGTTTATTTGTCATACATTTTGTCTCGGTTGTGGGTTTTTGTATGAAAAAAATATGGCAATGTTAACCAGCAATAGGCCGCCTAAGTGTGGAACGCCAAAACTTGGTATTGCTATTAAACAAATTGGTTTACAAGCACAAATGTACGACAAGTGGATTATAAAAAAGAATTCCCTTGGGTTTTCTGAGAAGAGCAATAGCAATTTTGCTAATTATTTGCTTCGTATAAGCAACAAACAAAGAGGTCAAACATTGCCTTCAGGTGAGTTTCAAATGTATTCTAAAGATCTTGGCACATTATTATGCTCCATAGGAATAGTTACAGGGTATATTGTTCATGTTTTTTTCCTGATTACATCTACAGTGAAGACAACTCAACTGCCTTCTGAAAACTTGTCTGCAAACATGTTATCGTTGGTCACGTTTGCAAGAATACAGTACCTTCAAAGAAGACATGATTTGATGTCTCGCAGACAGCCATGGATTTGGTAATGCGTAAATAGTTTGCAACAACTGAATTAATCGTGCTTTTATTGTTTTGTTTACTTTCATTGTTTTGGTGACAACCATTCATTAGTTCATTAACATGCATGTTAATACAGTAAGACATTTTTCTCGTGTAACAATTTATATGCACAGGGAAGTATACTGTATCAGGGACGTTATATATTTTATATTATTTACTGTTGTACAAAAGCACAGCATGTGCACTTGAGAGATATTAGTTTTCAATAAGGTTATATCACACTAGCTACACACATAGAAATGCAGAGGTTGTCACAGAGCTGTTGTTACAACACTGTTGCCGGTAAAAGATGTACTGCAAATTGTTGCAATAATACTAATAAAGGTTATAGAGCTTGTTCGTAACAAGTTGGTAGGAGCTTGTCATGAAATTGTTAGTTATTTGTTCAACAACTGGGAACAAGCAGGGCGAATACATCATGTTGCAAAACTGAGGTTATTACGTGTGTAGTCAGTAACGTAAAAATGGATAAAATACTTTGTGGCCACGGTGCAACTCGATTGAGTTCTGATTTGCCCAGTGATAGGCCTACCAAATGTGGCCACCGCTCGCTGAAATTTCACCAAAACTGTATCGGCTCGATTGTTATTAGAAGCCTCCACAAAAGAAATTACCCTGCCAAATCCATCTATCGACAGGTGAGTAACTATCTTCCACCTTACCAACTTACCATTCCCGTCGATGTGCCAAAATAGTTTGGACAAGGAGCATCATATACTCTACAACGTGGTTTATCACAGCCACAGCTAACAATCCATTGGGCAGGGGTGGAAAAAGTATCGGAACCTGGGAACCTAGTTCCCAGAATTTTTTTTGAGTTGAGAGTTTTGCAGAAAATTTTCCAGAAAATATTTCAACATTTTGAGATAACCCTGTTTACTCAACTTACAAGTTACAACTATTCTACTTTATTTACACTGTACATGCTAACATCAGCAGCTTTTAAATATTTGACAGAAATGAATTCTTTTACCCACCCCTGTCATCACAATGACTGGTAAAATGGTAAATATATGCTCTGCAAAGTCTCCAATAAAATGCAAATTAAATAGTAAACAAATAAAAGTGATGGAATAAATAAGATGATAGGACATTTAGTTAAGCGGTTAGATCCTCACTATGATGTTTGTGATGTTCTGAGTGTGTATCCACACCGGGCAAGCTTGAAAATATGGCTGGCCACGGTGGGAATCGAACCTACGACCTTCGGAATACTAGCCCAATGCTCTGCCAGCTGAGCTACGCGGTCAGGTCGGTTCGAGTATGTGATATTTCGGAACTGAGTTTGGTTCCTTCGACATCAGTGTAATCTAGTATTCCAAAGGTCGTATAAGTTTGATTCCCACCATGGCCAGGCATATTTTTCAAGTTTCCCTGGTATGGATATACACTCAGAGCAACATCACAAACATCATATTCACCTTATTACATAACACCAACACAGAAAAAATCAAGATCCTTACTAGCTGGTCATAACTCATAACTGTGGTATATAACAGACAACTATTGTGATGTACAAGCGTACGAAAACCAGCCTAAAGCCCATTATTACTAAAGTACAAATAATACAATAATTATGCATTTGTTTTTTATTTTTGTAATTGTAACATTACAAATTTTACAGAAAATTTCTAGCCTTTGACCCAGGTTCCCAGAAAGAAAAAAATTTTTTTTCCACCCCTGCCATTGGGATCAACACGGTGAATCGAATCACACATCTTTTGGTGCTGGATACGAAAACCTTTTGTATGAAGATGACCCATAACAATCACCTCTCCAGCAGCATTCAGATCCTCACTGTAAATCTCACGCAAAATATTATCGAGTGAAGACTCGTTAATTTCTGTATATGATCTAAAAATACCAGCATCATTAATAAGTTGGTAAACTGTTGGTCCACTGACTTGCAACGTTTTTGAAATCTGCACAACTGAAAAGCCCAGCATCTAACACATCATCAAGGTCATCAAACTCATACATGCACCACTCTTCCTGCATTCAAAATAAAGCAGTGTCTGCACTTATTACACTGTATGTTCGATTTAAGAGTTCCATGTTGTGATTGTTGTTGTTTATACTGTACATCCTGGTCACTGACTGCATAACAATTCGTTTCCAGACCTCTCGATCTTTGGCATCTTTTTCCCATGTGTTTACGTCACATTCAATTTTCTTCAGCTGCCTTTTTATGACATCTTTGTGGCATAGTTTTTGACCTCCCACGCTTGGTCTACCACCCCATAGTTCGCCATACAAAAGAATTTTCATCAACCTGTTTTCTTCCATTCTTACTTACTACATGTCCAGTCCATCTCTATTGCGCTTTTGTAACCAATGCCTCTATGCTGGGCATTCCAGCTCTTCTCAAGACTTCCATGTTAGGGATCTTATCTGACCAATGGAGCTTAAGCATTTGCCTAAGATGTCTTAATTGGAAATTGGTCAGTTTGTTGAAATGTCGCCGGTAAAGAGGCATCGTTTCCATGGAGTACAACAAGGCAGGTAGTATCACTGCTCTGAAGACTGCAAATTTAGTTGTTAAGGAGATGTCATAACTATCCCACAGTCTCTTCTTCAATTTTCCATAAGCTGCAGACACCATTTGTATGCGATCAGAAATTTCTGTGTCAACTTTGTTGTCATCCGAAATGTAGCTGCCAAGATATTTGAATTTGTGCATGGTATTCAGGACTTCACCATCTATGATCACAATCTTTTGTGCATTGTGCTCACTGTTTCGGTTATTTGGACTCAGTTGATAAAGCAATTCTGTTTTATGGATATTGATTTGCAGTCCAAAGGCTTTGCTGATTTCCGAGAATCTAGAGGTTATCTCTTGAATAGCTTCTAACGAGTGCGCCATCATCGTCGCGTCATCCGCATAGAGAAGATCTCAAATTAATTCAGTTTGAACCTTGGTGAATGCTTTTACACAAGAGAGATTAAACAACTTGCCATCACTTCGGGTTCTGATGTGCATGCCTTCCTAGTTATAAGTATTACTACTTGTTTGGACAGAAGTCTTAAATGAAGGTTTAGTCGATGCTATAAAGCAACTTTCTGGTATTGCAGACGACGAGTTATCACATTATATTTGCTGAACCTGTGCTTGGAATATTCCAATCCTTAATAGAAAGGTCACAGAGTTTAAGAAAAAATGCGCAGAAACTGCTAAGAAACAAAGCGAACAGTTTTGTTCAATAAGCGAAAAGCATGTACGAAAGGACGATTCGGCAGAAACTGAAAATCACCTCTACCTCAGCAGGCAAGGAAAAGAACATTTGTGGGAAAGCGTGTTGCGCATACCAGTGTAGAAGAACGTTTTAGCAGAATCGTCCCTAAACCAGGACCATTGTCGTTTACAGTCCCTTTACCAATGTTAATAACCATGTACAATCTACTTGGTGAAGATCAAGTTCCACATGCAAACACACAACCTGAGTAAAGTCGGGTGTTGAACAAACTTTTCTAGACTTGGACATGTAAAATGCAGCATTTAGACCGGATGTAAAACAGAGTATATGTTGAGCATTTTCATTGGCGTAGCTAGGAAAAAATAATCGTCCCGCTGAAGGCGGGACTGTCAATTTCAGTGCGACTCCCCTAGGGGGGTTCGGGGGCATGTCCCCCCGAGAAGATTTTGAAATCTAGGACCACGCAAATGGCATTTCCTGCGATTTCGAGGGAGGAATGATGTCACTAGGCAAAGTTTCAATACACCTCAGAAAGGAGTATTTTGCCTTGATAAAATACAAGAAATGCAATCTGGCTCAGAGAAGAAGATCTGTTTGGGCTCAGAGAAGTGCGGTGTTAGGCAAAAATATTGCCTCTGCAGCACAACGGAACACTCATCACGGCCTGAATAAGTATTGATAATAATAAAAGTAAAAAAGAAACTAACGAGTTTTTCGCAGTGCTCATCACGGCCCGAATAAGTATTGAGAATAATAAAAGTAAAGAAGAAACTAACAAGTAACAAGTTTTTCACAATGCTGCAACCTGCATTTATTTACTGAAATGTGAAAACGAGTAAAAAATCGATGAGGTCATGTGTGAATGAATTGCCCATAAATTCAACAGCACACAGGTGAATGTATGTCAAATAAACGTCATACATAGAAAACACAGAAAAAAATGTAAAGATCAGTATGAAGGAAAAAAAACAAAAAATGAGGTCACCACTACTGTGGGAATCTCCCCCAGAAATTTAAATGTGCAGTTGTATACCTTAGTTAAATGGGGTCACCACTACTGTGGGTATCTCCCCAGAAATGTAAATGTGCAGTTGTATACTGTATACTATTTATTACTGACCATATTGATCAGACTACTCATTACCAGACAGACCTGAAAAAGGAAATCATTCATGAAAACAGACAAAGATAATTACCTTCCCTAAACCAAAATAAAACACTGTTAGTATAATTTATAAAGAAAGGCAAGTCTCCTAGGTTTTTCAACAAACTTCTTAACAACTTCATCATGCAAGACATTGGTATCTTCCATGAGTTTTATAATGTCTTTGTGAATGGAAATCCTACAAAGAGAACTGAGCCGAGCCTGACCCAATCTGTTCCTTAAATATCCTTTCACCCTTTTCAAAATAAAGTTGTTTGTAGTTGTGCTTCTTGTCAACCCTGCTAACAGGTTGGCCAACTTTGTCTACTGCTTCTTGATAAAATTTATCAAAATCTTCATCGGTGCGCAGAGCAGAAACAAAGTTCTTGAAACGTTCAATCCTGCTTATGCCATAGCTGAAGTCTGTACCTGTATTTTGAAGCACTGAATACAAGATAGAAGACTGCTCTAAAATCTTGTAAAAAACACATACCAAAAAACAGAAAAGGAAACTATTAAGATAGTGCAGTAAACCACTAACCTTATCCAATGATTCATCATCCCAACCATCAGGTTGCTCAGTTACTTCATCAAAAACATCTAAAAGTTTCTCATAATTTTTATATAAAACAATAACACAGGCTCGATAGTACCACCTAGTATCACCAGGGTTGGGAAACTCAAGATTATGGGATGTCAGAAATGCCTTTCTTCTAGGAGCATTACTTGTAAAAGTACTAAAGGCACTTGTATTAATAAAAAAAATTTTGACAGGAGCAATAGATGAAGCAGACTGGCACAAAACAAGATTTAACCTGTGAGCTGCACAGTGGACAAATTGAGCAAAAAGATACTCTTGACGAACCAAAGTTTGAACACCATTAATGTGGCCAGACATGACAGAAGCACCATCATACGTTTGCATAATTAGTTTCTCCTTGATGTTAGAACACTGACCAAGTTTATCTTTGTGACAACTTGAGATATTGCAGCAGCATTCCTATTCATACTGACATCCACAAGTCCCAATTGTCTTTTGACAATTTCATTGTCTTTATCTAAACAGACAATCATACTTACCTGCTCTTTGGTGGAAACGTCAGATGCCTCATCAACCCCTGCACACTCGTAAAAGTACAATCATTGATCTCCTTCAAAATTTCATCATCAATAACAGAATCAAGACAATCAAATCATTTTGAATTTCAGGAGAAACCCCAGTAAAACGTCCACCCCCACCCCTTTCAGAATCAGCCAATCTACCATGTAAGCTCCGTTCATATACAGAATCAAACTTGGCAAAAGACTCGAGCAACTCCCTATAATTACCTATATTCAAGCTGTCTTCTGATTCGTAATGACCTATGAATGCCAACTCCTGCTTAGACAAATATAATACTGCTTCAGTCACTGTTCTTAAAATTTCATGGTTTTGCCTTACCTCTTCATTGTGATGCTGAATTTCATCTCGTCTTGCTTGTGAAAGAAGAGAATCCACTTGCACATTCACTCCATACATCTTCCACATTTTAAAAGCAGTTAAGTGGGACCTTGTCCTCTCATGTTTCTTGCCATCAGACATCGGCTTCTCATGTCGGTGTAGCCAGTCTTTGTCCATGTTGGTGAAGTTCCCGGACAAAGCAAAAGACAAGGCAAACAGAACAATTTTTCTAAAATAGAGCTGCCACAAAGCCAATCCTTTTTACAATACCACTCCTTCATGAACGACCTACCCTTATTCTTAATCGTTAAATTCGGAGTTGGTTGCTTGTTAACAATAACATTTTGTTTGGCAGTTGGTCGAACAGAGAAAGGCCTTATCAACAAAGCATTTGCAATATCAGCTTCACATAGTTGAATAGCAACACTCACAGGATTCGTCACGCTCGTTGAAGCCATTGTATACAAATCACAAAAGCAAATATCAAATATGACATGAATAATACAGTATGATAACCTACCGTCACAGTCGTGAGTAGTCGCGCAGAAAGCTTTGTGTGAAAGGTTGAATATTAACAAGCTCTGCCTTTATAAAATAGCGGGACTTTGGCATTAAAAACAACCGTTCTGGGCATGCGCTGCACCAATTATCCAACCAGAAACCAGAATTTCTTGTATAGAATAGTATTGCATATTCTGCCATATGAAAATCAGCGGAATACAAGATATGCGACTACGCGAATTGCGTGAGTGAGCAATAAACTGCGTGGAAATTAGTTGCTAGGCAACAAAAAGGTCAAAGAGCAGCCAGCACAGCAGCATTGTGTGATATTCATATAACAAAGTTGTGATTTTGGTTTCAGTTATATTACATTTCCTTATTTTTTTGGAAATTTTTAGTCCCGCCGGACGGGACAGCGAGACCGGTAGCTACGCCACTGATTTTAATAAATGAAGGAAATAATTATTATTGAGAAACAACCAAATATCCCACTCACCATTCAGTAACAAGATGGGTTTCATCCGCAACAATCGCTTTTAAATTTTCTTTATATTTCTTTGATTTTAACAAATATTCAAAAACTTTCTTCTCCTCCAACAAAGCTTCTGCATGTGCAAATTACTGGGATTGCTGTCTGAGTGCAATGATTCTCCCGAACAATACATTGTATCCTTCGATTCATCAACATGAACCGCTTTCATGATTGATAAATTTATGTGATCTTTTAGTTTGCTAATTTGGTCAATCATTAAAGCATGTAATGGTGAAATAACCAGAACAAAACTTGAAGATAAATCATTGTCTTCGCCACTTGGATAAAAGTCAAACATGAATGGAAGAAGCTGGTATATTAATGATTTCCCATACCCTGTAGGAAGAACAGAGATGGTGTCATTCTTGTTTTTCATAACAGACCATAAAGGTTCATACTGTTTATCTTTAATGTCCATTTCGGCTTTGTTAATTTTGTAGAGAGATTTAGAAAGAGCGACTCGAAACAGGTCATCTTCAGACAAAGCCATGTTTCGATCAATGCATATGTAATATGAAACCGAACATGTCATTGGCTCGTCCTATATGTGTCATATGTAAACAAAACACTATACTATATTATTGTGTTGGATAAAACATACTGTTAATGTTTGTATTCTATGTAAAACATTACTTTCAAGAAATTCTTAAAATTTCACTTCTTGTAAAAAATATGCAGAGTCAGCATTTTTATGGCCGCAAGCATGTTTACTTCCGGCAAACTACAAGATTTTTGAAGTTCCGGTATTGGTTTTGGGACCACGGATGAACGACAATATTAATAAATACAAATGATGACTTAATTATTTTGGACTGCTTTTTCAGCCTTTCAACCTTTCAGCTAATTTTCCCACAGTTTGCAAATTACATACAATCCTGGTTATTTCTTTGCCTTAAACTACCGTAATTTAATTGTTTCCCATACCAAATAATGTTGTCCACGGTTAAATGTAGACAATGCTGAAATTAAATAACCATTATTGAACATTTGCACCAATATCAGTCCTGATAACGGTGGCAAACAACAGATCAGAAAAAACTGGCTTTGCCAAGGCGGGGGAAGTTACCGTAAAGAAACTCGGCAGCTATACAGTGTGTATCAAAATAATTTGAATCCAAATTTGACAGACTGCTGTTTATAAAATACTGAAGTAAACGATATAATTTGTATATGGCAATAAGGAATAACCTACTACAATATTTGCCAGAAACTATGGGACAGCTGCTGTAATTTCATATATTTTGAAAGGAATAGCGCCCCCCGTTCCCCCAGTTCAATGTTGGGCCAATAAAAATCTGATGTCTGGATGCGCGGCGCCAACATTGAAATGGGTGGGGGGAGGGAGGGTGGAAAATATGTATCAGGAAATGGTATATTACAACCGAATGCATGTGAAAACTAGATTGTCCCAATTGATATTGTCAAAGATTGTAGGTTTCTGATTATATTGTTCTTATATCAATAAGACCAAAAATGACCAAGTAATAGTCTGTTAAAAATGGTTGCTTGAAATCAAATGTTTCCGCCGATGGGAATTTGAAGTGAGAGGTACTGACAAAAGATAATGCAAATTTAATTAATCAGCAAACTGTTATGCAGCAAAATTTACTATTTTTGTTTTTGAGTGTTCTTAATGTTGAACTTTCTTTTCCTGGGTTAGTTTTTATTATTGCAGGCAAGTGTTTTTAGCCCATTCTTGTGATAGTTCGTGGAGTGGCAAGGAATGCAAGGGAACAGAATTTTCATAAAGGAAAGTTTCCTCATTCACCCTGTCTCTTTTTCCTTTCTCGTGATGGGCTTCATTGAACTTGCCACCGAACCGTTTGTCAGAGATGTCCTTCATCAACTTTCCTGCTTTTTCCGTGTCTGACTGTGATCGTGACATTACAAGGCATATCTCAATTATTTCTGGCAAGGTCTGGTATGTCTGCAGAGCATACTCGATCTTGTGGAAATAACTTAGGACAGTTGTGATGTTCCACGTCACTTGACCAGCTTCATTGACCATGAACCAGATGCCTCTGAAATGGTCTTTGTTGTTGCGAACACGTTCTTTGAATGTCTTAAATTGGTTCAAGAGACAGAGACATTTTAGCCCACCACATAGCAGACTACACAGATTTCTGGGGAATAAAAGCGTGCCTTTGTTAAGATGGCTGGCAACGGAATAAATTCATCATTGAATTGTTGACTTAGGCTCCCGGGATCATGGTAGTCGAAAGATTTCAGATCAAACATCTTGATGATATCTTGTTCTTGCTCACCCTGTGCCAAACTTCAACTTGCCAAAGTTTCAATCATGTCCTCTGGTGTTAACTCCAGCTGGCGGTGCTGCTGATTCCTTAGCCATGGTTGGAAACACATGTCATATTGCATGGTGTTTACCTGCTGGTCAGGTTTATTTGCATCTGGCGTGAAATGACCTGTAGCAATACTTGGATGATGAAGTCAAAGCCTGTTCAGTGGGTTTTCCAACACGGGTAGATAATTTATTCTCTTGATGTTGCAAAGAAATTTGTCAATGTTTGCTCTGTCATCCCATAATGGATATATGTCGGACTGGGCTGTTTCACTAGCGAATGCAGACTGGCTGAAGATGTCGGCTAGTATCACAGAGTTGGCAAAAACAGTGGATTCACGAGGTTTTTTAAGTGACCTTGGACATCCATGTCGCCGCCAGCAGATTGCTCTTGCCACATTAGTCAATTGAACCAAGTAGCGAATGAATCTAGTTTCAACCAGCCTTTTCATGGTCTTTGTGACAGATTCGCTGAGAGATGCAGTATATCTAAGGTTCCTGTGCTGTTTTGGAGATTGGCATATTTTTGAAATCATGGAGTCCAATTTCAAAAGAACGTTGTCAAGCCATTTAATATCTGGTTGCTTTCGGATTTTGCCCACCATCGATTTAAGTTTGTGTGCTCTATCAGTGAAATGTAAGTGAGCACAATTAAACTTCACCTTCCACAATCGTTGCCAACCTTGAATGTCTCCAGTATAAACCGCTTCGCAATCTGTAGACGAAGACGTCACACTTTTACTGATTGTTTCCTCGGACATCTTGAGATCTTTTTTAAGGAAGTCTAGCACATGGCAAAATCATAGATATATTATATACACTAGAGAGTGCATCTAATTATTCTGCATTTCAAAAATTGAAGCCGTGATTGCAGTCTCATGTCGTTCCCATGAAATGAGAAGATTCGCATGTTTTCTATTTCTTAAACAGGGAACTTAAACATTAAGTTAACCCTATTCCAAATACATTTTTAAACTATTCAAATGATGAAAGTTATTGTTGTTTTTAAGCGTTTATTAGCAAGTGGGAACGACCAACATGGCTGCCATCTATTCAAATGGGGGTAACCGCTGGAATATTCTTGGCTTCAATTTTACTAAAAGAGATGAGCTATCTAGTGTATATAAGATATCTATGGGCAAAATACACCTCTGGCATCACTGGCATGGTCTGCGACTGGTTGTATCACCAAGGCTTTGTGTATATTCAGGGAGAGGATCCTCGTGCTGGGAAATGACACTTTGGTTCCCATTAATACAAACTGGTTCACCATCATTGTCCAGCATTCGAATGTTAATTACCTGATGTGTGACATGTTCAGTAGTGACTTTGTCCATGGACAAGTGACAGTGTCGAAGACAACCGGTAGTAGGGTTTTCAGATACAATGTACTTGATTAAAGAACATAACTGGACATCGTAGATACAGTCAGTTGCACTGGCCATTGCCATATCGGTCAAGTGTCGGTTTCCAACTTCCACCCCTTGTAGATGATGTAAATAGGACATATATGGATACCTATTGTATGCTACATGGCACTGAATTAGTCCGTAGCATCTTAACAGAAATCTTTCAGTAACCTTGTTTTCCCTTTGCTTGTTGAAAAGAAATGAAGATTGTATTGCATTTCTTTTTCTTTTTCTTTTTTTCTTCAGCGGACACACAAATCATATGACACTCGGACTGTTTGTGGCTTGTTATTTTTTTGTGCTCAATGATTGCTGTCCAGAACAACAGAGCAATCCACCAAATTTTGCATGCTAGAATAGCCTTGATGACTGCATATTTGAACATTATGATGCTGACATAATCTACAGGCTCCCGCAGAAGAACATGCTGAAGACATATTTTCTTCCCTCTGTATTCCACTGAGATTTGAACAACGTCGCCATTCTAACATGAAGGAGGTGATCGCTTGGCAATGAATTGCCTCAAACTATTCCAAATATCTTATTTGTAACTTCAACATTGTGATTTTGTGCCTCCTTCATTTAAGATGACTTTTCAAATTATCCAGGCGAAAATCTCTGTATGAACAATTCATAAGAGGGCATCGACTTATGCGAGATATTTGAATTTTTGCTCTTATAAACACCGCTACAACTGTGAAACTATTGAAATCTAAAGTGACATTTTGAATACATGCAAAAATCTGAAAATGACTCATGAAACACAATGTGACATTGCCATTGGGAATATAAAGTCAAAGGTCAATCAGACTTGTTATTGTGAAACATCTCACAATTAGGTTAAAATGCGGAACGGATGGAGCGGATCCACAGAACAGATATGGGGATAAAATATAGAATGGATGGGAATAAAATGTGTTCTTTTAATGATACGTCATAGTGCTTATTATTCATAACATATCTTATACAAATTAAGAGTTTCAAACGTTCACTGGTTAAAAATATTTATTTCGACGAGCTTTCGACTGCCAGTCTGCAGTCTAGCGTTTTTTGAGCAGAAAACGGTATTGTTCTGGCAAATGTTTTGAATTATTGTCCGAGTTTTCAATGCATGCAGTGTGCCAAGATTCTAGTGTCGATCTGTGTCAATAGTTGCCTTTGTCAATAATTTTTCCAGTTGCAAAGTCAATTCTATGATCGTTTTTCCATGCATGTTTCGCGATGTTTGAGCCACTTTTATATTTCTCCACGTTTCTTTTGTGTTCTCTTCTCCTAGTTTTGAAGGCTCTGCCTGTCTCTCCAATGTAGCTCCATGAACAATCAGAACAGTTAATTTGATAAACTACGTTTGTCTGATCTTCTGGTGGTGGTCGGTCTTTAGCCGAAGGGAATATTTGCTCTAGTGTGCGGAGAGGTTTCATGGTTACTCGAATGTCATAAGAGAATTTAGAATTTGTTTCAGTGGCTCTGTTATTTCTTTGATATATGGGAGGACGGCATAATTATAGTTGGTCTTCATTTCCACAGAATCAAAAACATAAATGTACAAGATCTTCGGGTGAAGGATTTGGTTTTGTTCCATGATACGTTTCTGTTCTACTTGTACGAATTTCTTAGGAAAGCCATTTGTCATCAACATGTTTGTTATATGTTTGCGTTCTTGTTGTTTCCCTTCGTTTGTGTTAGGTAATGTTGCTGCTCTCTGTAAGAGTGTCATTGCAGTGCTAACTTTGTGTTGTTTGTCATGGTGCGAATTATAGTCTAAGTATCTGTCAGTGTGTGTAGGTTTCCGGTATACGTCAATGGAAAGAGATCCGTTGTTGTGTGTGATTAAAGTGTCTAAAAATGAAAGTTTTCCATCAAGTTCCTGTTCTGTGGTGAAATTAATATGTGGATCGATAGAGTTAAGTAAATTGTAAAAGTTGGTCATGTTTCTTAATGATAGAAAAGACATCATCTACACAGCGAAACCATTTCTTAGGTGGCATGTTTGATTTTTTAAGTGCTGTGTCCTAATTTTTTAAGTGCTGTGTCAATAATTGCATGTTGTGTCAGTATATTGTAATTGTAAACCACTGTAAATATCACATCATTCACTTTAATCTACCTGTCGAAGACTGCAGACTGGCAGTCGAAAGCTCGTCCAAATAAATATTTTAACCAGTGAACGTTTGAAACTCTTAATATGAATCCTGGTTTCACATCTAACATCTTTAAATATCTTATACAGCTATTTGGGTGATGGGAATAATCATTAAATAAGTTCAGCGTATCAGTAGCCTTGTTAGGATGCTTTAAGCGCAATAAATAAATAAATCACAATAAATAAATAAATTGTATCAGTTTCATGAGGCACGTTTCTGATCTATTAGGTACTATTTAAAGCATGCGTAGGAGTGTTTTATCACATATAAAACACAACGCGTAGCGGAGTGTTTTATATGTGATAAAACCCGACTACAAGTGCTTTAAATGGCTTAAAAAACTACTCATCTTATACAAGTTCATTGGCGAAGTAATTTTTAAAAGAAACTTTGTCTAAACCGAGAAAATCAAAGCTAAAGTTTATGTAAATTAACATGATTTTTTATCACATATAAAACCACGACATGCTTTTTCTTTGTGTTTTCCTCCTGAATTATTGAGTTTTTTATGCTTGTTTCAAACTTCGTGCTACTCATGTGCTTCGCTTTATAAAATAGATGAGATGAAATGCCTTTGGTGACGGTTGATTTCGTAGTGTAAGCCATCAGCCTTTCTAGGTTGTCGGCAACCCTATATAGTTCTTGCAGTGTCTTTTTCAATTTGAAACTTCACACTATCCTTGGATCCCTAGTTCACAGTTTTTCAAATACAAATCATTTTGTCCAAGTCAAGAGGAAGCTCTTAAAGCTTGACTGAAATATAAAATTATAAAAATAGAGTGTTGCATGGGTACTGTTAAGTGTTGTGTTGCAATATATAAAAAAGCTAAACAGTGGTCGTGATTATTAAGGAGATGATTAAAGACAAAATGGAGATGATTAAAGACAAAATAGTGACATGGAGATGTTTAAAGACAAAATAGTGACATTTTGAGCAAGGTAGGGCACTTGCCCCTGAAATGCCATCATTTCACTTTCAAATATCATAGTAGTACCAGACACCACCTTTTTAACTTTTCTATGTACTTGTGTCTGTTATACATGTAAGCAGTGTTTATAGGATATACCACTATGAAGAACTATAACATTGTCCAGCTGTGTGTACTTTACCTCTGCAATTGTTAGATTAGGAAGGAAAGATTCCTGAATCCTGGAAGAAAAAAGTCTTAACTTAATGATGCTATAAAGCTTAATTTTATTCTCTGACTGTTTTAACATATAATAATGAATATACATAAAATATTACTTGACTGTGATTGATTGATTGATTTCAGTGCAATTAATCCCAAACAGCAGTGCAATTTTTTGTAATCACAGTGCAATTTTTTATAATCACGGTGCAATTTTTTATTATCACAGTGCAAAAATCTGTACAAACTGATCTGATTGGTGAAAAACAATGTGATGTCAAAATCAGGTTGGAGGCGATTCTTCTGATGAAATTGAACAGTCCAGCCATTCCAAACAAGACTCTAACCATTCTGAACAAGACTCTAACCATTTCAAACAAGACTCTAACCATTATTAAGAAGAATTACAAGATCTACTAAACCAGCATAGAAACGTAATTAACACGGAAGATCGCTTGCACCCAAGACAGGATGTATATAACATGTGTGTGAGTGAAACATTTACATTCGATACTTTAGTAAATAGGCTTAGACGTATATCAGCAGCCACGCAATGCTTTTAGAATAAATATAAGTTTTAGTTGTGTATTGCGGAATATAGAAACGGGTGAGAATTACGTTTTTCTTTGCCTCTAGCAATACTAGTGTGCTAGATGCACCAATGCTGATGAATAATGCCAAAACATTTAGACATTTTATTGAGTGATTGATATTTATAGAGTGGACATGATGACAACATCCAAATAGCAAATGGGTATTTTGCTCATTAGTTCAAGCTTTAGTTACTGTTACTAGACTAAACTTTCTGATAGGACATGCTAGTCAATTACCACCATATGTAATCAATGAGTCAATCATTGCCTTAGCTTTCGATCGCCACACGGGCGAACCGTACAACGATTATCTCTGCTTGTTTAGGTGCTTAGCCTTCCACCAAGGGGTGGGCGAGCAGCATTTACATCACGCAACATATTCGCTATTTGGTCGTTATCTCCAAGAAACCAACAAGATCGCGAGAATTTCGATGGGGTTGATCTAAGTGAACTTGATATAGTCAAAGGGTTGTTTGAGGTTGCCGTTAACGTTTACTCAATTGACAAAGACAGTCAAGCAATTTCAATAAGAAGGTCAGTTGCGAAATTTCCACCAATGTTCTTAAATTTACATGAGAACCATTTCAGTTTCATTAAGGATATTAGCAGTTTCTGTCATTCGTTTGTCTGTTGGAAATGTACCAAAATATTTTCAATACCATATCGCCTAACCCGACATGAGCAAACATGTGATGCTAATGTTAAACACAAGTTTCCTGGTGGTACTTAACAGGTTCCAAAAACTATTTTTGAAGACCTTGAAGAATTTGGGTTTGAGTTTGAAAATCGCAATAAATTTTTTCCATATGTTGTCACATGGAACATAGAAAGCATTCAATTTGACATTAGCGACAACAACAACAATGAAAGTAGACTTCAATGGGCTGCCGAACATGTACCTGCTTCCATTTCTGTTGCTAGTAACATACCGGGTTACAAGTCGGCAAATTGTTTTGTAACAGATGGCAACTCAGAACAGCTCACCAGTGAGTTTCTTGAGTATGTGCATGAAATCAGTGACACAAGTTATCAACTTTTGCATGAAAAGTTCCAAAATGTTTTTACCCAATTGGACGACATTGTTAGAAATTTGCCTGAGAATGATAAGGGAAAAGAACAAATGTTAAAATTAAAGAAAAAGTTTGACCTGTTTCTAAAAGAAATGCTGGTGGTTGGCTTTAGTTCGTCTAGATACGATGTAAATGTGATAAAACATTTTTTGTCATTTGGAACCCTCAGAAGAGGATGACATAGGCTTTGTAGTAAAACGGAATAATGTGTACATGTGTATACTCAAGTTTTTAGACATTACCAATTATTTAGCGCCGGGTTGTAGTTATGCCGAGTCTCTTAGTGTATACGAGTGCACAGCACAGAAAGGTTTTTTCCCTATGAATGGTTTGATGGTATCGCAAAGTTAGACTATGAGACCCTTCCGGCTCATGATGATTTTTTAGCGCTCTGAGAAACACAAACATAAGCATGGATGAGTACAGTTTCTGTTGTTCTGTTGGCAAAATGAGGGCATGATCACATTTAAAGATTATTTAGTGTGGTACAACAACCTTGATGTGGAACCATTTGTCAAGGCAATTGAAAAAATGTTTGAGTTTTATCAACCGCGAAGTTTAGATCTTTTTAAAGATGGAATTTCTGTTCCAGGGTTAGTAATGAAAAATTTTTTCTGTCCTAGATCAAAATACATTTTTCAGTTTGTTTCAAGAAAGAGATAAGGATTTGTACTACACGTTCAAAGATAACAATGTAGGTGGTCCATCTATCATATTTCATAGGTATCATGAAATAGACAAAACTCTTATCCGCGGTGGGAAATTATGCAAACAAATTTGGGGGGCCGATGCGAATGCCTTAGACCTCTGGGCTTTGTCACAACCAATGCCAACCGGATACTATGTTAGATGGAAAAAGGAAAACAACTTCAAAAAGGAAGAATATTTTAACAAAATTAGTATTGAATGGCTTGATTATATTACCTATCATGATGAAGTAGATACAAAACATGAACACAATCACGGCAAGAAGCGTATAGGACGTTTTGTAGTCGACGGTTTAGATTCGTCAACTAATACAATTTATGAATTAAACAGTTGTTATTTTCATGGACATAATTGCGAACTAAACCCTCATGAATTTAATGAAAAAATGCAATTTACTGATGAGCAAACTTTATTGCCGAACTCTTGAAAGACAACGATATTTGGAAGATCATGGATTTGGGAATGTGAGTACAAACATATGCAAAAAACTGATGAAAATTTGCAAGAGTTTTGTTTGTCCTATAAACAGGAACCAAATGGTAGGTCCGCCATGTCTGTTGAACAAATACTCTCGGCAATTAGGTCTGACACAATGTTTGGCGTCGTTCGTTGCGATATCAGGGTGCCAGATGATGAAGATAAATTTTCAGAAATGTGCCCTATTTTTAAAAACGTGGACATACCTTTCGATTGCATTGGGGAGTACATGCAATAGTTTGTAAACAACAATAACTTTAAAAAAAGCCAAAGCGTGGATTAATAGGTAGCATGTTCGGTGATAATATTTTATTGACGACACCGCGTCTAAAATGGTATTTAGAACATGGGCTTGTTGTTACAGAAGTTTATGAAGTGCTAGAATACACTCCAAACTCATGTTTTAAACTTTGCAGACAATGTGAGTGATGCCAGACGCGGTGTTGTCAACAAACGTGCACACTGCATGGAAATTCAACCTATGGTAAGACTCTGACAAATAAGGAAACTCATCTACATGTTAGTTACTGTGATGAGTCTGCTGTTGGATTACCTGTAAATGATCCACATTTTAGAAAGCTTGACATTGTCGATGACAATTATTATGAAATTTCCAGAATGAAGAAATCAATCAAGTTAAATTTACCTATGCAAATCGGCTTTTTTGTTTATCAATATGCAAAGTTATGCATGCTTGAATTTTATTTCGATTGTATTGATAAATTTCTCGACAGTGCAGATTTTCAATATTGTGAAATGGATACAGACTTGGCATATGTTGCACTTCCATCCATCGACGCTCTCGTTAGGCCAGAACTGAAAGCGGATTACAAACTTGATTGGTTTTCATGGGATTACAATGCCAAAATTAAAGCTTATGATAAACGTACGCCTGGTTTGTTTAAAACTGATGTGAAACTGTAATGTTTTCCCGGGAGGGTTATATGCCCCCGATCTGATATAATCAGCTTGTTTGGTTTCTGCGAGATAACAATGAGCCGACAGAGATATGAAAAGCACTACTGATTTTGTGGAAAAAAACCCCCAAAAAACCCAACTGCATGCACAAGTTACGGCTGCAAGGTTACATACCCACAACAGACAGAGATTTTCACACAAATTATAACTATAATTATATCTATGGTCTAGCTCTTAACTGTTGAACATGACTATTGTTAATGTAATCAAGTGTGTTGAATAAAAAATAAATAACTTGAAGTCAAAGATGTCTATGTTCAAATCTTTTATTTCTTGTTTTACTATATTAGTTATTACAGCAATTTAATATTTGCTATCCTTATGGCTTTTTGACTATACATGAAAACAGGCAACATTTTCCTCACAAAAGCTGCAACTAGTTCATTGTTTTGTCCAAGGTTCCAAGTAAATTTGTACATTATTGTACTCATACTCATAGAATATAAAATAAATACAAAAATGACCACAGACACTTGAGAAAGGTGACTAAGTATTCGGTCATTGCAAGTCCATTTCGAGCAGTTGTTGGTGTGTTGTTGGTTTATAAACGAAAATGTATATGTTTCGGGACTCTGTCCAAGCGAATCGAAACATTCACCATGTGAAGGACTAGCAAACCAAAAATACGATCCAATGTGAGCCAGGCATGTTACTTTTATCAACATTGGCGACATAGGCTTTAGGATAGCTATTGACTGTCTCAGGCAATTTATCAGATGCGTATACGCCACCAAACACTTGCTTAGAGCATTTATTGGACCGTAGAATTTTCTCAGTCGTGGAATTCATGTGCTGAAGTCAAATATAATGTTTCGGCTCTTGTCTATTTCGATAAGGCTCTCAAACTCGGCATAAGCTAAACAGGTAACTGTATGTGGGAGCGCTTCAGAAAATTGAATACTTAGGTGAGCGTTCCCAGTCTGAACAGGATTAAAATGTTCTGAACTGGTTAAATCTGGCGTGAGATCTATAGCATACAATGCATATCCTCTCGATCCAAGGACAACAGCCCTTGGGGAATGGCCATAGATTTCACTTTCACTCTTGAAATGGGATATTTTCTGGTTGTTTTATACAGAAATTTTTTCGTGTTCTAAACACAGTACTCAAATGGCACTCGTCTTCCTGAATTGTCGGTTATATACACTTCCAGCATCTCAAACCGCTTCATACCGACTGGCATATATAATGGGATTCTGGTACGTTTTTGTAATTATATCACCATATCTGCCCTTAATTTGAACAGTACGTAGCAAGGGAACTTTTTTATCACCAACAATTTGATCACTCACAAGATTGCAATACACAAACATGGACGAAAATCCTGCATCGATATCTGCCGTATAGGGCAACGTTGTTTTCTTGGTAATATAACTGTCTTGGTCAAACCCTAACGCAGCAGCAATATCACCAGTGAACCAAATGCTTGCTTGTTTTTTAACATTAACAGTTACTTTATGTGTGTGCTTACTATACGTTAATTGAATTTTACTTTGTACATCTTTCGAAATAGGACTGTTAAAATTTTTGACGAGATCCGGAACGCTTTTGTAATGGCCACTGTCAATGGTTCCAGTGCTTTGTTCACTACCCACAGTATATACAAACGTAAGTATGTGCGTATTGCATCTCAACAAGAGCGACTTCCCAATTGCCAGTTAACGTCAGTCAGCGACTGTATTGGAGGGAAATATTTCCATACAGCTATTGCTAGGTAAGGTTATGAAAAACGGTTTTGTTCTTTCCATCATGGTGGTTGATATGTCACTAAAAGCAAACGTTATTTGATGTGGGTTATATCTTTTCATCTACCCAACTGTTAAATTTTGTAGGGTAATTTTTCCAACTGACCAGATATTGCTTGCAGCCGTTCCTGGTTTGTGAATGCTATCCACTCTGTAAACATCATCTTTTTTAACGACTTTTTGCAGTTCAGTTTCGTAAAAAATCCCATCAAAAATTTCGTTTCCAAAATCCTCAATTTTGTACACTGGTGGATTTTGTGCAATTTGTTCAGCTATGGTAAAGTTTTCCTCTGTCAAACCCTGATTATACGCTTTCTCAAATGGTCTTCGCGTCTTACTTATTTTTACTAGATCACCAACATTGAACTTAAATTTTGGATTGGGTTTTTCTCTCCATAAAGCATTTGCCTGACTTGGAATTTATTTTTCCTGATCACAGCTGGAATTTCCTTGATCAACCTGTGAAGAGTGTGATTTGTACGAGTATACTATATCCTACAGTGCGTCAATATAATGGACAGTGTTTTTTGCTGTGAAATAATATATTTTTGTTTTAATGTCCTTATAAATCTTTTGGCTATGCTTGCTTTTGTCTCACTGTTGGTGGTAAAAAACTGAATACTGTATTGCTTCATGAGATTTTGGAATTGTGAATTCAAAAACTCTGCCCATAACAACACTAACAGAAAAGGACAGGACCGAACTACAAGGATTTAAAGAAATCAATATGAGGAACAACCCCTTAAACTGCCCCTCAATTCACCCGGACATTTGAGAGGTAATCTTGAGGGACTGTAATTTAAAGGAGACCCCAAGTCAGCGCTCATACTTGATAATACGGACATGCGAAACGCTGCCAGTAACCACACGAGTGCATGATGTAAAAGAAGTAAATAAAGCACATACAAAACCGCTACTGGGCACATGAACGCATAATGGAAAAAGTGAAGGAAATTTAATGTGGTTGATTGTCCTACCGATTTTGGTCGTGTTCGGATTGTATGCATTCATTTTAACTTGCAAAATGTGACAAAGACACCGCGTCATCCACGCCATACCCATGGAAATGAGTATGCTGAGACAAGCCAAAGAGTAATTCTGTTTGACCTCAAGGAAAAACAGTTGATTTATTTCATTTAGCATATTTACAACATTTCGCTCACTAGGTTTATATATATATATATATATTTTTTTTAAAGTGTTCTGTTCGGGTTAATATAACAATGCTTTAATAGCTTAATTATAGTCTCTTAATAGTCTATAAGTGGCAGTTTCTCCATATCCTTTGTTAGTGAGAAAATTGGCAATTCCCCCATATATTCAGCGTAGGCATCGTGTGGATTTTCCTGTGCGCTAGTAAAGGTAAGTCCAGTTTCAGCTACCATGTATGTGTATAGTGCTGGATTACTCTGCAATACAGCAACTCTTTCAACATGAGGAAAATCCACTTGGTTGAACTGGTTTTCCAGCTCGAGTTCCATTAAAAAAAACTGCATGACTTTTCTTGATCATTTGGGCAACAGAAGAAAAGGCGGTCTTGATTTTCTCCTTCGTTTTTGACTTTCTGCACACAAGCATTCAATCTGTGTCAGCACTTCGGTTTTGGCAACACTTGTCTGTCAGCCCACTGCCAGAACTTACATGGGTTCTCGCGGTCACAACAAACAAAAAACGGCCTTCCAAAGTTCAGTTTACCGACGTCTTTGACGACTTTCATTCTTGCTAGTCTTTGGTCAGTATCACACTCCGGATGAATTGGTCCATTCGCTCTCTACACTAGTTCTTTAAAACCAACATAAAAGAAAAGATGATTTCACTTGGTATTCTGAAGCAAACTCATAATGAATTTTTACGTGGCATTTATCATTTATAGACCTGGAGCGAGGGGGATCAGCCCCTCAGGAAATATTATCACTTCGGGTAATATTTCCCCGAATCCCCTGAGCGGAGGGTCTGTAAATGATATATTATACCGAAAATTAAAAGCCTCCAAGTCGAGAATTAAAAACTTGACACATACCTTCAGCTTTGTGAGTACGATGTTTTATTTTTGGATTAACGCAAGTATCGTTGCTTTTCTTTCGAATCACATATCACTTGGAATATTAATGACAACATTTTTCAAAGTTTGCTTCAAAATTTTGAAAAAGCCCCAGGTTTTACACTCTTTCTCAGCGAGTACCATTACGCGTAGAATGTGCACGTTCTATGGATGTTTTCCTTCATATCTTCGATTCAATAAACACTATGTCGTTGAAAATAACCACCATTTGGTTCAGTGTAAAAATATATACTTATTCATAACAATAGTTTCAGTCAATCGCAACATTATAGCGATTTATGAGCTTTGAAAGTCAAGCGAGCTCGTATATTATTATTATTATTATTAAATTTGTCACAAATGTGAAAACATTACAACAATATAACACTACAGTATATGACATGTGTGACAGGAACAAGGAACAGAATTTTATCCCAATTATTACCTCATCCCTCCTTTGTTAACTATGTACTAACATATAGCTATACTATACTAAACGTCACTTAACAAATATTTACTTTAGTATATTAATAGCTAATACTAGGAAGATTGCATGTTATTAATTTGCTATTATACAAATTTATTACACGTGTTCTAAATGAAGTTAGAGTATTAGAAGTTTTTATGACTGGGGGAAGACTGTTCCAAAGTTTTGCTGATCTGATGAAATACGAACTGAAATAATCTTGATTATGCTTTATTATAAGGTGAAAGTCATTTTCATATTGCAACGTTGCACATTTTCAATTAAAAGTTTATGTTTGATGGTGTATGGAGACCAAACGTTACTCACATATTCCAGCTTTGGTCTTACTAGCGCGCAGTATAGGGTCCTTCTCGTCTTGACGTTTTCCACTTCTTTGCAAATACGTTTAATCAAACCGAGAGTTTTGTTTGCCTTAGAAACAATGCTGTTAACGTGTTGGTACCATGATAAGTCTTTCAACACTACAACTCCAAGATCCTTAAAATCCGTCACTTGCTCAATAATGTGTCCATTGATGCTGTAGTTGGTTTGAGTGGGCGTATTCTTTCTGGAGATCCGCATGGCTTTACATTTTGTATTGTTCAATTCCATTTGATTATCGGTGGTCCAGGTTATTAGGTTGTCGAGATCATGCTGAAGAAGATGAGATGAGTCAGATTGTATGAGAGGCAGTGCTGTAATAGTTACTTATTTTTTGTAACTAGTTACAGTTACAGTTACATCATCAGAAAAGTAACTAGTTACCGATACAAGTTACAATTGAAAAAAAGTAACTAGTTACAGTTACTAAGTTATTTTAAAATTTTTGTAACTAGTTACAGTTACAATGGCAAAGTTACACCCATTCTTTTGGCTAATAGAATTGAGAAAACATGTTGTTAGTTAGACAAAATTTTTATTTATTTTGACCAGAAGAGAATTTTCAAAATTACGATCTGTCATTGAGGAACGATGTGGTCTAAAAATTAGTCCTGCACAGCTGAACAATCTTTCACAAGCTGCGCTTGCAGGCACCGGTGTGTTCAGTTCAATGAAAAGCTGGCGCAGCTTCGGCCAACTTGCATATACAGATAACTCTTCCGTGTGGCTTTCCAGAAATAACTGCAGCTCAGATGCACTTGTCTTCGTTTTAGTAAAGAAAAAATTATTCTCATCATCTTCTACAGAGGAAATCGACGTTTCAGCTTCTCGTAACGCTCCGACACCTGTGTCACTTTCAAGTCGATCATTGATGAAGTCCATACCTGCAATAAATAAAGAATAAAAACAATTTTATAGTTGAATAGATAAAAGAAAGAAGAAAATACCCTGTTATTCAACCACGTTTTTTTCAAATATAGTTTGAACCCTGATTGATTGTGTCAGATAGCCAAAGCTGTCTATACCTTTCTTGAGCATATCTTCATCGTTTGTCCAGTTATCTTTAAACTTTGGATGAAGCAATGCCGCAGCAATTATCTTTTCGTCATCAAAAATATAATCGAATCGCTTGTCCATACCATCCAACAGGGCCGTCACTAGAGGTTTTACAGTCGCAATTCCATTCTTCTTCTGAAGTTTCTCTTTCAGCAAAGCGATGGTAGGTGCAAGGTATCCCATGTAGGCATTCGAGTGATTGCATTCTCCTTGCAATATGTTTAACGCTTGTGCCATGGGCTTCATGACTTGGGCATAATCTTTCAAGAATTGAATCTCACCTGGTTTCAGTCTGAAAACAAAAACTGAAATTTTAACACACATTTAATGTACAAATAAATAGTACTGAGAAATGAAAAAGATTAGAACAGTTATTATATGAAATAATTATTCTTGCTTTAATTTTCATTTTTCAGTATTATTTAGAAATGTCTTAGTGGGATGGTGTTAAACCTTTAAACGGAAAAACATGTTGCATGAAATTATCTGCAGCAACATGTTGCATTAAAATAGTTAGTAGAAATCTGTATAACATCATCTTAAGAAGTTCTTACGTCGTACTTACTTTGAAACATTAAACTCAGCACAGAGTTTGTGAATGGCATTTTCACCCTTTGTCTTGACAATGTGGCTTAGTCGTTCAACAGCCATGAAGACGGAATTCCAGCGTGTTGCATTGGGCTTCAGTAGAACGAAACTGCACTCTTCTTGGACAACTTCAGCAGCTTGAGTTGACCGAGATGCTTTGTTCCAAAGAGCCTGGCATTTTGCAAAAGTTCCCCTTGTTAACCGTTTGTAAGTAGGATCTTTCTCAGCCTTCTCTGCATCCACTGTCGATATGAGATTAAGGGTGTGGGCAGCACAGCGTTGATGAGGGGGAAGCTGATACTCGAAGCTTTCAGCTGCTTCAGTTAGGTCGCCATAAACATCATGAAAGGTGGATTCATCTCCCTCGGTCTCCTCCGGTTCTTCTGGTTGTTCTGAATTAACAGCAAAGACAGAAAATGCCTTTACAAAGTTCGACCCATTGTCAGTTGTGGTCTTGACAATCTTTGAGACAATTTCATACTCAGTATGGATTTCTTCAAGTTTTGCCGCTAGAACATCGTAGGTGTGCCTGCCTTTTAGACGACGGCATGCAAGAGCTGCGCTCACTCGGTTGAGCGTTTCGCTATCAATCCAATGTGCTGTAACCCCGATATATGAACGGCGACGGGCGGTCCAACAGTCAGTTGTGGTTGCAACTTGTTGCACTTTCGCCATGGCATCTTTCACATTCTTCTTAACTAGACTGGCCTTTTCGTCGATTCTTTTTGTAACAGTTGCCCTGCACATAACAGACCGATTTGGTTGTAGTCCTTTTACAAGTCTTTGAAAGGAAGGCATTTCAACTGTTGAAAAAGGCATTAATCCTTCGGTAATAAAACCGATCAGAAGGTCGTCAATTTTGGCTTGTGAAACCATGTTAGCGTTGGCTGGGGTTGTAAGCATGTCATAAACCTTGGGTTGTTTTGATGAATTTCCCTGACTCACTTGGTTACAAGCTTTTCTTTTTCGTGATTGAGAACACAATTCATTGAACTTTGACAATTGGTGTGGATGGGCTCTCTAAAAATATTGAGATCAGATAGTATAAGTAACAGTCTAAGTTACAGGCTTACGCGAAACCTACCGAAGCAGACTTAACCCCACAAGTTTTTCATAGTATAACTGTATAAGTAACAGACAGTTACTAAGGTACGCGAGTTACTATTTTTGGCACCTACGCGACATAAATGAAAATGCAAATTTAAAATATTTTACACTTCATCGCCTTCAGCCGCGTGAATAGTAGGCTATTCAATCTTTAAAACTGCTTCACAAGAAACGCAAGTTTTACTCGCTTATACCTAAAATTTACATTAGTCATTTACTAATACTTAATATAGAAGAAGCCGGCACCCGCAAAAGCTGAACCTAAATATATTTGATTAGTTATTTGTTAAACACTCGGTGTAAAAGCGTTAACACGCGGTTGGTCAAGTGATTATCGTCGTATCGAATATCGACGTATTGACCATGATAAATATCAACATCACTGATAGATACAAATATAAACATACATGATATGATAATACTGATGCATGATTATTTATCCCTGACGCAAGCATTAATACAATATTATTTAAATAAAACAACCAAGTAGACCAACCAACCTGAACATGTTTACGCAAATTCGACAATGATGACAGGCTCGCAGAGCACTCTTTAACTTTCGGTGAACACAGTAAACAAGTTAGCTTCACGATTTTTCCCGCTACAGATTTGAACTGGAACATTGTTTCCAAGTGCGGCCATGGATTCGATTCAGATACTGGTTGTGCCGAAGACATCTTGATGAGCTACTAATCCCACTATGAGTGTAACCGCACACGTCAACGAATGAATGGATAAAAGCACGTGTATGCATGCTATTAACATCGCATTTGCATATACTGTAAATAGTCCAGAATGCACTGTAGCGCCGCCGAGGTAGCGCCGTGTGAATTGTGATGATGATTCAAGCACACAAAATGTAACGGCGTTCTTGACGGCAAATGTAACTAGTTATCGTTACGTTTTATTCCTAATTTTTGTAACTAGTTACAGTTACAAGTTACGTTCTGAAAAAAGTAACTAGTTACCGTTACAGTTACTCAAAAAAGTAACGATTACATGTAACTAGTTACTTGTAATGAAGTTACTCACAGCACTGATGAGAGGTAGGTAGAGTTTGGAGTCATCTGCGAATAATGCGAGCTTCGACTTTTGGATGTATGATTGGATATCATTGCAATACACCAGAAAGAGTAACAGTCCAAGTATGGAGCCTTGTGGTACACCAGATGTAACGGGAAGCCACTCAGAATAAACACCATGTAGAACAACTCTTTGACGCCTATCAGACAGGTAACTGTGAAACCAGGAGAGATCCATGAATTCCAAAGTCACTGAGCTTGCATAACAGAAGGTGGTGAGGAACTTTGTCAAAGGCTTAGTGATACACTTCAAGTAGTTGTGTGGTCGTACATTTTCCCCTCATGAAACCATGCTGACGATCGTAACTTTGTGGCTCGAGATGATGATAACAATGATTATAAACACAACGTTCCAGTACTTTAGATAATGTACACAACAATGATATGGGCCGGTAATTCATTGCCAGCGTTGGGTCTTCTCGTTTGAAAGTAGGTGTGATGTTTGCCTCTTTCCATTTGCAAGGGAACTCTCCTAGAGCCAAGGACATATTGAATAATTCACAAAGTGAAGGTCCAATTATGTAAGCAAGTTCTACTAACAGTCTATTCAGGATGTTATCAGGGCCTTACACCTTTTGTGGATCTAAGTTTCGAAGAACACTAATGACTTCAGCCTCGGTGAGTTGGATATCAGAAAGTTCATGGGTTGATGACGTTAATGGCGATGAAGATGTCGCGAATACGTCCAAGTCTTTAGGACTGAACACTGAGTGAAAATACTTATTTAAGATATTCGCCATCTCACATTTATCAGTCAAGTAAGATTGATGTTTTTGAGGATAGTAATGTTCTTTCAATTTGCTGTCGAATGTTTTACGACCGCCCAGAATCGTTGGGGATTTTCATGCAAGGATTCTGCAAGTTTCCCGCTGTAGTTTTTCTTTTTCTTTTTGATGAGTTGTTTCATGAGACGCCTTAAGTTCTTATATTTCATCAACATTAACTTGGTTGGGAAATTTCTTTAACTTTTTTCTTTGCGTATTTTTCCTCCTAATTAGCTGAAGTAGTTCCTTATCTATCCACAGGTGATCGTAAGAATTTTTGATGCAATGTTTTGGTATATACTCATCTACAGCTTTCAGGAACATATCACACCAATTTGATAAGGTCTCGTCAATATTGCCTGTCACAAAACACAAATTCCACGGGATCTTATTGAGAACGTCCATAAGACCGGACCGATTTGCATTCGTAAATTCGTTGACGAAATGTTTAGCTTTTGGATTTCTTTGGATTTTAAGATTTATATCGAAGCTGATGATTTTATGATCTGTGGATAAAATGTCATCGAACCCTGTCACATTGTCAATTTTGTCCGGAATGTTGGTTAAAATAAGATCAAACGTGTTCTCACCTCGGGTTGGAAAATGGACCATCTGACAAAGATAGAAATCTTTCACTGTTTTCGTAAAATGATTGGGAATGGAATTATTGCTATTCGCTGTTCCGGTAGTCCAGTCAACATTTGGAATATTGAAGTCCCCACAAATAATAACTTGATCAAACCTGTTGCATCTTTGGACTAGTTGGAGAGATTTTTAAAATTCTTTAATATACTGTAGATCAGAGTCTGGGGGTCTGTAGAAAACAATCACCGCAATCTTTTTCTGCTCCTCAGGACGTACTTCACAAACCAAAATTTCAGCACTCGTTTTGAGATCTTTTCTTCTCATGCTTAAGATGTTTTCATGCACAGCCAATAAAACACCGCCTCCAGTTCTGTCAGTTCTATCTTGCCGATGGATATTAAAATTGTTCCCAGGGAGGATTTCACAGTCCAAGTTTTCAGGTTTAAGCCAGGTCTCTGTTATGGCTAAGAGGTCAATATCAGTCATCATTGTTTGAAGTTCACATGTTTTATTTAATAAGCTTCTCGCGTTGAAATAAAGACACTGAATGTTATAACAATTTGTAGAATGAGGTTCTGGATTCGTTGCAATATCACCGGCTAGTAAGATTAACATGACCAAATGACTAGTATTCTTAACAAACTGAAACCACAGACCATATCTATAGCAATTAGGTAAGTTAAATTTTCGTTGAGTTTTATCTTGAGTAGATGACCAGATCAAACTCAGGTTACTGGACAAAGTTGTAAGCTCAGGACCAATAATTATTATGGATCTTGACGTTGTCCCACCACGATTGCGCTTGAGTGAAAGTAGATGCACACATGAACAAGTTAATGCGAGAATGATGACAAGTGTTAGGATCGTTCTTCGTTTTTGCGGTTTTAACATCATGATTATTCACAAGTAAAAGATCCATGGTAAAATTTAACTGGAATTGATTCTGATAAGTTCTAATCCAATGTAATAGGAATTAGAATAAGATGTTGAGAATCCAACGCACGCAGATCAAATAATGGTCAGCAAACAATTTTGTGTATCCGCACACGCTTGCAAAGTCAACGACTTTTTAAAATAATATAAGAATGATATATTCCAAACGACGTTACTTTGACAATAATTTCTTTAAAAATAAACTGTAGTTTGTACACGTAAATACCAGAGTGTGAGCACTGTATCTTTAACTCTCAAAATCCAGCGAAAGCCAATTCAAATAACAATATTTAGTGGTAGAATTATCCAAATTTTGCGCAGCGCTTTGCACACGCTTCAGCGCGATCACAAAGAGTATATATATGATCAAATTATGTATATGATCAAATTATGCAATAACAAATTATAAACATAAACATACCTTTCGCTGAATATAACTTTGGCCCCTTGGATGTATACTCTTGTTCGATTAACCATTCGAAATGCTGTATACTGTGTTATTTTCAACCTTCTAGCTGTAAATTCTAGCCATTTATTACCAGATTTACATTTCTGGTCCGAGTTTGATTTTATCCAAACCGGAAATACAACTTAAAAGTGTCGAAACAATGCGACGTTTGTATCGTATGATTCTCCAAAGGTCAGAAACCATAGTGGAAAGTTCGTCTTCGCTTCCGCAGGAGACTACCGCTGCGGAAGACGTAGGCTTCCGCAAGCGCAGTTAAACTGAAGTCATCAAGGTACCGCAACTGTCACACTATACAGACTGGTTTCCAGTCGACCCTGCCCCGCTTTCTAGTGTCTATAAAACCTCTATGATGAGCTTAATGTGATGTCGTGATTTATATAAAGTGCGTCGCAGCGTCGGTTAACGCATCGTTTGATTAAAAATACAATTGAGACATTGACTGATATTCTCACCATGCAGGTTCATAAAATTAGACAGAAAAAAGACTATACATGGCAACGTTTGCAGACGTATCGTAAGTGACTATATACAGTATGGTTAATATATTAACCAGTTTTTTACACATTTTATAGTCTTGATAAGTACAGTACTATATGTACATTTCAAAGAATGTACGTGTAAGCGATCAACTACAAATAATTATATACAAAACGACATTATTTTAGTCTTTACAGAAGAAACGGTAAGCGAACTCCTTCGGTGGTCTTCTTAGTCATGACTTTACTCAAATCTTTTCCCGGGCCATAGGTAGCTCTGTAGCTCAAGATTGGCCAGCGATGCTTGGGTAGATTGTGACTTTTGTCGCCATCATGATATAGTTGTGCAATTCCAGTTACAAGTTTATCAGCTTTAATTACGGTTGGCATTAACCAATCAATTTTTGTTCTAAATTTGGCAATAAGAACATTATACTAATTTGACAAAAATTGGATATTTGACTAGATGGAACTAAATGTTGAGGAGTGGTATGGAGATGAAAATTACATACATCTTTAAACCTTATACTAAGAGCAGTTGCAACTGCTTATAGTTCGCACTCGAAATAACCGTTCAATGTTTAATTTGACAAAGAGCCTAATTAATGGCTAATTTCAAAAGATTTGAACGGAAAAGGTTGAATGTATACATTTTGCAGTGGTAAAGGATTTTAGACAACGATCGCAATAGTAAATATACAATTTGAAAAAAATATGGCGAATACAGTATACCTCAAAGCTAAAGTGCTGTTGCTCTGGCCACCTTCCATGCTTTGACTTTTCATTACTGAGTATAATGATTCGACAATTGACTCAGTACTGCCAAGGGCAAGTGCAATATCTGTGGCAATGCTCATTTCCACGCCGATCATTTTAGATACTACCTCGTCGACATAAAATGATCTACAATAAAATACATACGTACCATTAAACAATAATACAAAACCAACTACTATATATATATATATATATATATATATATATCTTCAATTCTAATCGGATCGTGTCTTTTCAAATGGTTGTCTCGTGAGGAAAGGTATTCAAAACACAGTTGACACCTGACACATCCTTTCTGGAAACTTTCGGCACCGGCAAAGAATCTGACACTCTTGATTTTTTCAGTCAATTGGATTATATTCTCTATCTTACTCCAGTCCACACAAAAAATGCTGCTTTGCATATATTTATCTGTGGTGAGTTCATTAACCAGAATTGACATATCAGATTTTGGTGGATAAATCTTTCAACATAGAAACTACCACATCCATCTTTTCTTCTAGGTTACTATGGCCAATTGACAATGTTTTGTCTAAGCTTTGATGAGTTGGTGACAAAAGACCATCTTCACTTTGACTGGAATTAATTGTTTCCTTTGTGATTTCCAATTTTTTCAGGCAAATACTTTTGTAAGCATTTAAGGCTTCTGAAGCAAGTGGAGCAGTAGCATCAACAAATTGGACAAGATGTGTTTTTATCCCACTATGTGCTTTTGAAAGATGCCTTTCTTTTGTTTGCTTATCACTTCGACAAAGATAATAGTTATAAGGGGACATGGATTTATCAGCACTGAAAAAGAAGTTTGGTTTAATATTGCTAAAAACATGAAAGCAAGTTGAGGTAGACTTGAGGGAATTGAAAGGTTCATGGAAACAAAGCTGCAGGCAGTTGTTTGCAGTTCTGATTTTTTTTGGAAAATCAATATATTCAAATTTTTACATCTGATTATACAAAACCCTAACATTTATTGATGTGATATTTCTTTAAATCATTGGTGCAAGCAATTTTCTTGCAAAAGTAAAATCGTCTGACATTATACAGATTAAAAAACTGTCATATGAATGCAATGCACAATGCCACTAAAAGGGTTAAAGAGTTGTACTAAAAATGTACTTTGAATTCACAATTCATATAAAAATCCTGTTTCATCTAATTGTATATAAACAACAATTGTGGGTTGCTACCAAATCCCTTTGTCAATAATTGTATAGACATTTTTAAAATTGTTTCTAAAATTGGCATCCCTTCTGTGAAAGCATCACTCATTCACTCAGACACATCACTTATTCTGTAAATATTACAGAATGATATGGTCTGATATGTTAATCGAGTTGTGAGCAGAAAAGAGTTAATACTATCTTAGAGGATGATTTTTGAAACTTTGATCAAATAACGTACTTGAAACAAGTCATACAAACACAAGGCAACTTCGATGGTGGCTGCAAATCAAGTTTTGTTCGTAACTTTTTCCCAGTTACACCAGGTGCTAATGAAGGTGACAGAGATCTCTTGGGGTTTGATTCAACTTTTTGGAAAAAATTTGCAATACCAGTTTGCCTTTTCGTAGCTGTTTTTTCACCTTAATTGAAATGAATATTTTTTGACAATTACAATTGGGCCAATCAGCAACAGTAATTAAACTGATGTAATACTATGTAAAAAACTGATTTACAATAAATACCTTGGCATTTGGAACACAGTACCATAGCCCCATAACCCTCCTCTGGCCCTGGAATGCTACACGGCTCGAAGCTGTGGCAGGGTTTTGTGCAGGAATAACAACAATGACTTCCTGAATATTCATTCTCACAAGAGACACAAACTATAAAAGCAGTATATTAAAAGAAATGTTGCCAGTGCCACAACTTCATAACAATAGTTTAATTATACACTGTAAAACTTCGCAATAATAATATTGTATGTTAATATTTTGCAAGTGTTCGCCTGGCAATTGTAATATAGTGTCATATGGCATATCATTATTATTAATATGAAAGAGTAATAAATACAGTCCAACACAAACTTGAATCACAAGGCTGTCATTATTCATTTATAAGACTTGAATTAATGAGTTATTGAATATTCATTCATTAATATTGATAAACATGATCATAAATTGTGTACTATTCAATATTCATTATATAATAAATATACGTAAATCATGGAACTATTCGTCTATTCTTTTATTAAAATATTAATATACAGGAGCATATAAAACCATTAATTTAAAACCCATTTTAAATAAATAGCACAATTACAAATATTCAGCACTTTCAATAATCGTTAATTGTCGTTACTTACTTGACTCACTTTGCTTTTCCTCAGCATAAATACTTGAAGGAGTTGAAGCCATTTCTAATTTCAATGCACTGTGATAGTGTTTCAATGTCACGTGTTTGGCTGTTTTCCCGCTTTGGGAGAATTTGAAAATCAGGCATTTTCAGGCAAATAGCGTCGCTTGCAACTAACGATGAACAGTCGCTCATGAAAACATTGCCTATTCTCCGAATTCCCGTGACAAAGTCAATGTTGTATATATATTCCGCAATATTCTTCCGCAATAGGAATTTCCTTGCTAAAATACCGCAAAACTCTACCGCATGCGGAATTTTCAAAGTTGGCCTGCCGCAATAAACTACCGCAGTAGCACTTTTTCAAATTGACCTGCCGCGGAAGATCTCCGGCTAAAGTGACGAACTTTCCACTATGGGTCAGAAATGGATTCTACAGGTCAAATTGCACCTATACGTGTGAGTTTGACGTCATCCCGGCTAAAGGACCTCCCTATTGGCCAAGTATTACGTAATACACGCACGTGCAAGTAAAACCTGATATCATTGAAAATTCAAAATAAATATTTCTATTCGCTGTATTCATACGAAACTTTCTACACGAAAGCACTTGAATACAAAGAATCTTTTACTCAGACAGACTTTTAGAAAATGACAAAAAGTTTAGAAAATATTCAACTTTTCTTGATGTCGAACAGGATGTTTGGCCAAGCGGTGAGTATAAATATATGATTGTTTTGGTTTGTGTAATGTTATGACGGCACTTGACCCCCGTTCGAAAGGTTATTTCGAGAGGATTTCAATGTTGCATTTTGTTTTAAAGAGGGGTAAATACTCGCCGAGATATTTACATTAGAAACATCGACTCATAATGTAATGCGAAACCTGCTGTCGTCCAGGGAGCTGAGAAAGAGTTAAAATTGAATTATTCATCACTCATTAATAGTATTTATATTTTGTCGGCCATGTTGTTGTCATGCGTGTTGTCTCACGTGGTCTACGCGAATAATGGGGTGGAACATTGTCAAGGGGAACGCAGGCTCGCTAATTGATGACATAAGGCATGATATCGCGATTAATTTCATGCTCACGTGGCACAAACTAAGCTTCCTGATTGGACAATTTGAATTTGAGGTATAATATTTTCAGCTATAACATTGGTACCACACATTATGAAGGACTCATTGACTCAGAAGCATATGACAAAGATGTTTTTCAGACAAAACTTGGATCACTAGAGGTATAACTGTGTTCAGCCATCAGTTTACAGTACATTTATTTACTATAGTGTATTTAGTTCTCTGCAATGATGTATGCGCATTGGTGAGTTCTGTTGAGCTGTTGTTTCGTTGATTGATTGATAATAGTATTTATTCAGGGAAACCAACATCACAAGTTGTGTTTTTCAGAAGGTCCCTGAGAAAACTATACAAATACAAAAGATTATACAATAATAATATGCATGCAGGTTATATGCGATGTATATATATAAACAAGAAAAGTTTTAAAATATAGAACTAAGATAATTATATATTACAAAGAAGAGCTGTTTGCAAAATGCGTTCGATTATACTATGGAGATTTAAGAAGTGCAGTATGAAAACTAGCTAGATGGTTAATTGACATAATGTTTTTGTTCAAATCATTATACTCCTTACAAGCTTGGTATAAAAGTTTCTGCTTTCCCCAATTGGTACTAGGTTTGCTGAGATGAATGTGATCTCTTTGTCTCGTGTTATGCAGGTGGTTGGCTTTAGGTAGGTCGAAGTCATAGTCTATCAGGTTATTTTTCAATTTGAATATGGTCAGCATTCGATGTAAGTATTGATAAGATATTGTATACGGACGAGAGCGGACGTGTCCTCTGCTGCTTCGTGTATAAAAAAGAATATTTCTTTAATTTTGTTCAAATTCTATAATCGTGTTGACTACAATTATCAAGTATAGATCTTAGAGATCATGCCACCTAAAAGGCGACCCAAGAATATCAACAGCCAAGAAAATGGCGAAGTCGAACAAGATATGTCTGACGAAAACCTGGCCACGGCGACCTCAACTGGCTCGAGCAACTCCCTAGAAGCTCTTCTCGATCGTCGCCTAAATCAGCAGTCTGAACAGATCAACGAACTGTTTGTTAAGTTCACTAAAATGACGAAGATCGACCTTGAGGAAGTGAAGAAGAGTCAGGAATTTCTTAGTACAAAGTTTGACGGTTTAATAAAGTCTGTGAGCGATCTTCAAGCTGAGAATATCGAGCTTCGCACGCAGAATGATGAGCTGAGAAGCAGAACCGACAAGTTGGAGTATCAAGCCACTACTAATATGAATGATCTCGAATACCAAAGGCAGTACTCGCGTAGAGATCTGCTAGAAATTCAAGGCGTGCCCGTTGTACAAGTTGAAGATACCAACGCCATTGTGGTGAAAATCGTCGAACTAATTGATCCCAACATGTCATTTAACGCTAATGACATTAGTACTAGTCATCGTTTACCAACAACAGGTAACATGATCCCACCTATAATAGTTAAATTTACCAGACGAGACGTACGAGACAAAATATATCAATCGAAGCGTCGCCTCTACTTGAAGAAAGCTTCGGACATGGGGATGGGATATTCGCAAGATGCGAAGTTATATATCAACGAGAGCTTGAGCAGAAAGATGCGAATCCTTTTTAAAGAAGTGAGAGCTTTCAAAAGGAGCCACGACTATAAGTTTGCTTGGACGAAGAATGGTACGGTGTTTTTGAAAAAAAACGCTAACCCATCGTGTGAAGTTAACACTTTTACGTCTATTGACGAGTTTAAAGGATGGACAAATTCTCTCAACATTGAAGGATAGATTTTGCATAATTATTGATAAGTATTATCTTAATCTGTTTTACAATGGCGTGTGTTAATGACCTGCCCTTTAAACATATTTTCCCATTTAATCACTTAGATGATGTATCGTTTAGTGCAGCTTTATATGAAATGTCCCATGGGCCAATAACCTTTGACTTTGACCGATTAGATACTTTAGTGTTTAACCCAGTGGAACACCTATCCTCAGCCCACTTTCCTTCAACTGATTTAGATCCTGATTCGAACTTTTATGCAACTTCTCCTTATACCTGTAATTACATGGTTGAAAATGAAATAAAAAAGCTAGCCACAGTTACGCGGGATCATTCTGATTTTTCTTTGCTGCACCTCAACTGCCGCAGTTTGCTTGGTCATTTTGATGATTTCAAATCACTGATTGCAAATTTGCATAAATCGTTTTGTGCCATTGGAATTTCCGAAACCTGGCTTAATGATCAAACATTTGACCTCGTTAATGTTCCTGGCTATTGTTTCATTTCCAACCATCGCTCAGGTAAAACTGGAGGTGGTGTAGGTCTTTACTTACAAGATCATTTTCAATATAAATTACTTCAAGACTGTACCATATCTAATCCTGACGTAATTGAGTCTATGTTCGTTGAAATTCCTAACCCACACGGAAAAAATATCATTGTGGGTACAGTTTATCGGCCACCTAACCAAAACCTCGATTCGTTTATGCATGAATTTAATAAAATTCTTTCAACCATTTCTAAAGATAATAAACAGTGTTATCTCATGGGTGACTTTAACCTTGATCTACTTCGTTATGATCAGCATTCAGCTACCCAGGAATTTGTGGATTCTTTGTTTTCTCATATGTTTATTCCTCTTATTACGCGACTGACGCGCATAACTTCACACACTGCTACATTAATTGACAACATATTTACAAATTCATTTGCAAATTTACAAAACACTCAGAGCGGGATTATTCTCAATGACATTTCCGATCATCTACCCGTTTTTGCATTTTGTAATAATGTGTCTCTTCCTTGTAAAAAAAGTGATAAGAGCTTATATAAGCGAGACTTTGGAGAAGAAAATCTTACTAATTTCCATACTAGTTTGTCACAGGTGGACTGGTCAAATGTTGTGGTAGGACAGGACCCTAACATTCAATTTAATGCTTT